ACAAGCCCCAACTTGTCTTGTTACACAACGCCTGACTTCCTCATTCCATGGGGCATGAACTCAAGGCTGCTTGTGGGGTGCGAGGTTAGAAATGATCGCAAGACCGCCAGCTCTCTTTGAAATAAAATTTTAAAATGCACACACAAACAGTGAGGCTTGTGGCTTCTTGCAGTAACAGATGACAACTTTAGGATTTAGCACAATTCAATGAACACAAATATCACCCCGTGCCTGATCTCTCTCTCTCTCACACACACACTCCCTGGCAGAAAATAGAGAGATAGCCTCAAACGGCTTCATGTAGCCATAGCAGCGCAGTTGGGAGAATATAAATAATAATTATGATGTTGTTATCGTTATGATTCTAAACAATCATTTTGTTTACATGGTGCCTGCCTAATTGCTCTTTGAGGCTCTTTATGGAAATCCTGATGCAGTTCGAAACGTCCTATGAAGATGAAAGCTGTTTTGTTTTTTTATAAGGAGGGAAGAGAGAGGAGGAGGGGGAAATAGGTCTATTAACAGCACAACCATAATCGAGAAAGCCTTATTGACATACCCTCCAACATTTCTCCGATGAAAATAGGAACCTCCTATTCAATATTATTATTATTATTATTATTATTATTATTATTATTATTTATACCCCGCCCATCTGGCTGGGTTTCAGCCACTCTGTGTGGCTTACAGCATGTATCAAAACATAATAAAACATCAAACATTAAAAACTTCCCAATACAGGGCTGCCTTCAGATGCCTTCTAAAATTTATGTAGTTCTTTATCTCCTTGACATCTGACGGAAGGGCGTTCCACAGGGAGGGCACCACTACTGAGAAGGCTCCCTACTGAGAAATAGTAATAATAATAATACCGCGCCCATCTGACTGGGTTGCCCCAGCCACTCTGGGCAACTTCCAGCATACAGTGGTACCTCAGGTTAAGAACTTAATTCGTTCCGGAGGTCCGTTCTTAACCTGAAACTGTTCTTAACCTGAAGCACCACTTTAGCTAATGGGGCCTCCTGCTGCCGCCACGCCGCTGCTTCACAATTTCTGTTCTCATCCTGAAGCAAAGTTCTTAACCCGAGGTACTATTTCTGGGTTAGCATAGTCTGTAATCTGAAGCGTCTGTAACCCGAGGTACCACTGTATATAAAAACATTTTCTAAAAACCTTCCCTATACAGGGCTGCCTTCAGACGGTCAGGAGTCGCATAACTCCATACCCTCCAACATTTCATGAAGGTAGGGATGTCCTAAGGAAAAGCAGGACGTTCCTGGGTCAAATCAGAAACTGGGATGGCTTCTGTAAATCCAGGATTGTCCCTGGAAAATAGGGAAACTTGGAGGGTCTGCATTTATCAGGCAAAACAGAAATGTGCTGCTGCGCTGCCAAAGTTCCCCTTAACTGTCTTGTGTGATGGCAATTTCCGCAATGTGCCACTCAAAAGGATGCAGAGCCCGCTGCAACAATCCCAGAAAAGGATATGTACATGGTACATCTATGGCACATCTGGTTATGCTTCTTGGGGACAGTTCTGGGTTTCCCAGCAAACAGCCAGAAGTGCTGCAAAAGTCTGCAGAACCAGTTCCACCAGAGATGGCATTCCACTGCAGAAAAAGGGGAACACGATGGCTTTATTGTACTGTCTGCAAACATAGTCTATGTACACAGCTTCAGATACCGAGGATATTACCTGTGATTAGCTATATTGCTCTCTTCCTGGGACAAAGAACATCTTCAAATGTTTGTCTCGTAGAAGATTTGCATGACACGGACTGACACGGGAGCTTCTGCCATTCTCTGCCAATCCAAAGACCTGTGAGAGTTACTGACTAGGTCATTCTGAGCTGCAACATTAGTCCCTCTTGCCCAACACTATCTAGTCCAGCCTTCTTCGCCTCTGGATGTTTTGGACTACAAATCCCATCGTACCCAGCCGGCATGGCCAATAGTCAGGGGTGATGGGATTTGTAGTCCAAAGCAACTACTCTGTTCCGAACTTAAAAATGGAAAGCGTAATGCTGGTGGTCAACAAAAGAGGTTTAAAGACTGTCTCAAGGCAAATCTTTAAAAATATAAACACTGACAACTGGGAAACACTGGCCAGCGAGCGCTCCAGTTGGAGAACAGCCTTTACCAGAGGTGTCATGTGCTTTGAAGACACTCGAACTCGGGATGCAAGGGAGAAACGTGCTAAGAGGAAGGCACGCTTGGCAAATCCACACCGTGATCAACTCCCGCCTGGAAACCAATGTCCCCATTGTGGAAGGACATGTGGGTCCAGAATTGGCCTCCATAGTCACTTACGGACTCATTGTTAAAAACCGTGTTTATGGAAGACAATCTTACTCGGCTACGAGTGATCGCAGATGAAGAAGAAGAAGAAGAAGAAATCCAAAAATAAACAAATGGAAGACACCAATGCTGGAGGGCATCCTCCTGAGAGCCCCCACCCCACAATTCTTCTCTGTCAGTATTTTGTAGGAAGGATTCAAGGGCACAGTGGAAACGCAGGTTTGAACAATTAAAACAGGGCTTTTTAATTTTGAGGAAAGGCGAGTAGGAGAAGACATGATAGAACTGTATAAAATTATGGCATGGAGGACATGGACCTGAAAAAGCCCCTCTCCCTCTCTCAGAACTTATAAGCATCCAATGAAGGTGAAATATTGGGACATTCGGGATAGAAAAAAGAATGTACTGCTTTACACCGTGCAAAGTTAAGTTCCGGAAAGGACTCCCCCAAGAGGGGATGAGAACAGGATGCCAGATGAGATGAGTGCTTGGCCTGATTCTTGTTTATTTATTCATATTTATATATTGACGGATTGTAAGAAAGCCTCCAAGCCGCCATCAAAAACATAAAACGAAACGTTGGAATTATTCGTATTTTTTCTTCTGATGTCTTTAAAGCAGAAGCTCTTCTCGCTGAAATTCAACACAGTTATTAAAAGTGCAGGAATCGTGTCCTCTTCCGCACCTGGGCAACCTAGCGGAGAGCAGGCAAGTTCTTGGTTTGAATTCCTACTCCCTGCCCTGAGTTCCTTGAGGTGAGGCTCTCACTTCGCTGCTCAAAATACTGGGATGTGGCAGGATCACCTCCTGTGACGGTTCCTACCTGCTCTTCTGCCCCCTCAACAAATATCACATCACAACCTGAGTCATGCGCTGCTCAGATCAGCTATGGAATTCCCTTCGGGCATCTGCACCAAGTTGCTCTTGGGCACATGTGTCACGATGAGCAGAGCTTCAGGAAGTGCATATTTTCCTGGTATGGCAATCCAGTGAGAGGGAGGGCGAGGAAGGATTTTGGCCCATACAGTAGCTCCCTTGTTTTGACACAACTATTACAAAAGGCCCAGGGACCTTGTCCTCATTGCCCTTACCCATCAGATGCAGGCAGTGATGGAGGGTACCGATTAGGACTGGGAGGGAAGAAGGCCAGGAGGCCAACAGCAGAGGGCGCCAGAGCCATCGGCACTATCAGGAGCTGAAGCCAGGAGCAAGTCAGCAATGAAACACCTGATCTCTGTGAAGTTAACTCTTTATTCAAAGAAACCAAAACTGCTCAGGTGCCGTGATCACAGCAATCCTTCCCAGTAGGTCTTGCCCCAATGAGGCACTTGCATGGACTGAAGGTCCCTGCTTTCCCACCACTCTATAAGACTCCTGCCCCCTCCTACTGGTCCTTCTCCAGCAATCTGAGGCTCCTCCGTCTTGTCTCTCTTTGCTCCTATGCCTTCATTCCTCTGTGTGTTCTGGGAGACCAGAGGGGAAGGGAGCTGGTCGCGGTGGGAGGGAGAGACCCCCTGGCTTCTTCAGCAGCCTGCCTCCATCATCCTGTCTCCTGGCCCATCTCTTCTCCTGCCTCTGATTCTGGACTGCTCTCTGCTACAGACTCTCCCTGCTCACTAAACCCTGTTGCCTCTTCAGCTTCCAACCCTCCTCTTCCCTGTCTTCTCCCTCTTCTTGCTCTGACCACTCATCATCAATCCACCACGGTTCCCTGGGCTCTAAGTCTTCTTCCCTTGGTGGTCCCCCAACTGGTGCCTCCCAGCATCCCTCTGCATCTAGCCAGACCACGATAACGAACAGGTGAAACCAGATGAAGCCTAGCTTGTCTCCATCCCACCAAGTTCCATAAGAAACCGCAACGATACTAAACAGGAGGAGGCCGGTAGCTGGTGGAAAAAAAATACAAAGGCTGGCAGGTGGGGGTTGGCTGAGGTTTATTATATTTATTTATTTATTTATTTATTTATTTATTTATTTATTTATACCCCGCCCATCTGGCTGGGTCCCCCCAGCCACTCTGGGCGGCTCCCAACAAAACACTAAAATACAATAACCTATTAAACATTAAAAGCTTCCCTAAACAGGGCTGCCTCAAGATGTCTTCTGAATGTCAGGTAGTTGTTTATCGCTTTGACATATGCTGGAAGGGCGTTCCACAGGCTGGGCGCCACTACCGAGAAGGCCCTCTGCCTGCTTCCTTGTAACTTGGCTTCTCGCAGCGAGGGAACCGCCAGAAGGCCCTCGGCACTGGACCTCAGTGTCCGGGCAGAACGATGGAGGTGGAGACGCTCCTTCAGGTATACTGGACCGAGCTTGGTGGGGCAGTGACCCCCCTTCACCCCGGCGGTCCAGCCTGCACTGTAAGCAAGCAATGTGCCTTTGAGCAGCCGAGCGACAGGCAGAGATTGAGTCGCCCCAGCTTTTCCCCCCACGATGGGGAGATTTTGTTGTTGTTTTCCCCGGCCTGATACACACAGTTCTCCAGAGGCACTGGGAGAAAGTGACTAGGCTTGAGCCGCAGGTGGTGTTTAACTCTGCAACACTTCCGTTGCCTGATGACACACTTGTGGCCCATTCAGTCACCGCCACCGCAAATCTCTGGGGAGTGCCTCGTGATGTCACGCTTTACTTTTGCGCTGTCAAAGGCCCAGGGTCACACACACACACACACACACACACACACACACACACACACACAGGCACTCTGCCACTCCCATTGAGCATTGAGGGAGGAGCTGACTTGAGCACTAGGCTGTTCAGAGCTGCAAAGGAACTAGCTGGCGGAGGTTTGGCTGCTCCTGTGGCCCAGAAGAGGAGGGAAAGAGTGGGGAAGAGAGAAAGTAAGGAAGAGGAAAAGACTGCAGACGAGTGAGAGACAGAAAGGTGAGCAGGAAAAGCCAGTGCCAGCCTGTTTATTTATTTCTCTGTCTTTTCTTCTCGCCCTCTTTCTCTCCACCTGATTCAATCAATTGCTCTCTCTTGCTGACTCTCTGTATACTTTGTCTGGAGGGAATCAGTTGCCTCACTGTTCTTCATGTAAGACAGAGAGAGACGGACAGGGAGGCTGTGTCTACATAGCACATTTAAGGCAAAACCTGCCCCACCCACCCCCCAGGCTGGGAACTGTAGTTTTGTTAAGGGTGGTGGGAATAGCAGCTCTCTGTGGGGAGTGAACTACGGTTCTTTGGGAAGGGGGAGCACGCTTTGTGTGTTTTGTAAATATAGGACAGGCACGCAGTGTCAGTACACTTTGATTATCTTTATTGAATCAGTTTCCTCATTCTTTTTTGCCTAGGAGTGGGCGGCGGGGAATCTTCCAGCACTTTGAGAGGCAGCTGATTTATTGTGGTCCATACCTGAGCCACAGCAAATCCTGTTAACAGCACAATCTTAGCTACCTTTACTCAGAAGGAAATCCTATTTGGTTTAGGATGGCAGCTGTAGCACTTTGAATACTTATTTTTTTATTTTTTTAAAAAACCCTTTGCTGTCAGAGACACATCTAGCTTCCCCTCTGGCATTTGCCTCTTAAATTTCTGTGTCCCCAGTTCTGTTCCCATTTTTTAATCCCTCCCTCCCTCCCTTCATCTCAACATTGCCATATCCCTCTCCCTATTCTCAAAGACTGAGATCAGGTAATACTTTTACATCAAACAGAAATGCAGAACCGTCACCATATTATTATTATTATTATTATTATTATTATTATTATTATTATTCACAGTTTAGATACGTGCTAAGGCGATTTGCAGACATACAATGAAAACAGTATCCCCCCCTCCCCAGAATATTTATTTATTTATTCCAGAAAATTTATACACCACTTGATTGTTAAAAACACACACCAAAAAAACCCCCCAACAACCTTCAAAGTGGTTTATGAAAAGATAAAACAAGAAAAGAAAAGAAAAGGCCTTTCTTTAAAAAGTACAAAACTTAAAATACTAAAGCGGATTAAAATTACCTCAGCTTTCTAATCCTCTGGGTGGACTTGCCTAAACAGGAGTGCTTTTAGCTGGTGCTGGAAAGTGTACGGCGAAGCTGTCTTGCTTAATATCAAGTGGCAGGGAGTTCCAAAGCCCAGTCGTTGCCACACTTACAAAAGCAGAACAGATAGTATTGGGGGGAGGGCTTTAGCATTTATGTTTGTTATTATCCTGCATATTTTTGTGCTTTCATATTGTAAACTGCCCTACGAACTTCGGATGAAGGGCGGTTCAGAAATTTACGGATAAATATTATGTAGGCACCTCCAGTAGTGCCAATCCCGCCAACAGGAGCGGTCAGTTGGGCAAGGCGATCCTGTAAGTAAACTGCTCTCAAGTTATTAAGCGCCTTATATAATAACAGGAACACCTTGAATAGTAGCACCCAGTTGCAAATCAGGAAAAATGAACACCTAAGGCCCAGCTAGACCTTTCTGCCCAGCTAGAAAAAAAGCTTGCCCGAAACTATTGTTCCCAGAAGGTACAGATTGTGGGTGCAATCCTTGCTCCCCACAAATTGCAGACCCTCCAAGTGTCCCTATTTTCCAGGGACAGGTCTGGAAACCGTCCCGGTTTCTATTTCCTGGAATGTCCCGCTTTTCCTTAGGACGTTCCTATTTTCACTGGAGAAATGTTGGAGGGTTTGCAGTTATGCAACCCCTGAGCCGAAGAGATAAGTAACTAGGCAACCTTTAGAAGACATCTGAAGACAGCCCTGTATGGGGAATTTTTTTAAAAAAAAGTTTTATTATGTTTTTGTTTGTTGGAAGCTGCCCAGAGCGACGGGGGCAACCCAGTCACATGGGTGGAGTACAAATCATAAAATTATTATAATTATTATTGTTGTTATGGAGTAGGATGTCCCTGTTTTCATCGGAGAAATGTTGGAGGGTATGTTATTTATCACATTTATTATCAAGGAGTGCAGGAAAGCAAAGAAAAAGACATCTGAAGGCAGCCCTGTATAGGGAAGTGCTTTTTTCCCCACAAAAAACCCCACATGTTTAATGTTTTATTATGTTTTTATATATGTTTGAAGTTGCCCAGAGTGGGTGAGGCAACCCAGCGAGATGGGTGGGGTATAAACAACAAATTTAATATCAATATTGAATAGGATGCCCATATTTTCATCGGAGAAATGTTGAAGGGTATGAAATTGGAGGGGTGGGGGCTGTTTCTCTCCCTCTCCCCACCTTTCTCAGTCCTCACCCTCCTCGTCTCCAAATCCTTGATGTGTTGCAGCCAGCTGATGTGCCCATGCCCAAGTTAGCTGCAAAGAAAACGCCTCTTCTATCGCAGTCCCTTCAAATGGCCCCCTTGGTTTTTCTTTCGGTGGTTGTTGATGTTCTGGACATTCCTTGACCTTTCGGGTGGATGGATGGATGGACGAAATGAGTGGCTTTGGGGAGAGAGCCTCTAGGGATGGGGAGAGAGGACTGGGCCGGTTTGGCAGTGGGCTGTGTGCCCATGCGTATGGGACGAAGACGGGGAAGGAGCATAGCTGTCAACTTTTCCCTTTTCTTGCGAGGAATCCTATTCGGAATAATGGAATTTCCCTTTTAAAAAAGGGAAACGTTGACAGCTATGGGAAGGAGAGAGGGCAGGCAGGCTTGTAGGGCACCAGCGCTGGGCTTCTCCCTTCCCTGCTTCGACTTTTCTGCAAGCGCATGATTTACGTCTCAGCAGAGACATAAGCCAGAAACTCCGTCCCTGACCTTTTGCTCTCCCGTGGGGTACACACATGCATTAACTCTTCTTTCCCTGTAGCGACAGCAGGCTGGCTTGTCCCAGAAAGGCGAGGGGACGAGGAAGATGAAAAGCCACGGCGGAATGCGGAATGCACACCCGTTTATTACCAGTGATTACTTTCGATCCACGGATTTGCCAACCCAACCCGCTTGGGGAGGGCGTGTGTGCGTGCACCACCCAAGGCCTCCAAACGTGGCAAACCAGGGTGCCATAAGCTGCGAACAGGTGCACCACAGACAGATGGCTATAGGGCAGGACTCTGCGCAGGCGACTCAAGCAAGTGAGCCAAGCTGCATGTTACAGTGGTACATCTGGATGTGAACAGGATCCGTTCCGGAGCCCCGTTCGCATCCTGAAGCGAATGCAACCTGCACCTGAGCATGCATGGGTTGCGATTCGCCACTTCTGCGCATGTGTGTGATGTCATTTTGAGTGTCTGCGCATGCGCAAGCGGCGAAACCCGGAAGTAACGAATCTGTTACTGCTGGGTCGCCGCGGAGCGTAACCTGAAAATGCTCAACCTGAAGCATATTTCTCCCAAGGCATGACTGTATAAAGGAACGCGGGTGGCGCTGTGGGTTAAACCACAGAGCCTGGGACTTGCCGATCAGAAGGTCGGTGGTTCGAATCCCCGCGACAGGGTGAGCTCCCGTTGCTCAGTCCCTGCTCCTGCCAGCCTAGCAGTTCGAAAGCATGTCAAAGTGCAAGTAGATAAATAGGTACCACTCCGGTGGGAAGGTAAACGGCGTTTCCGTGTGCTGCTCTGGTTCGCAAGAAGCGGCTTAGTCATGCTGGCCACATGACCTGGAAGCTGTTTGCCGGCTCCCTCGGCCAATAAAGCGAGATGAGCGCCGCAACCCCAGAGTCAGTCACAACTAGACCTAATGGTCAGGGGTCCCTTTACCTTTACCTTTATGACTGTATAGGGGATGGCAACACCTTCCCACCCATGTGTGTGTGTCTCCAAGGTCTCAGGCAGGGTCCGCCCGAGACCCTTTCGGCTGCAGGTGCCCACAGCTGGACTTTGCATCTTCTGCATGCAGGGACCTGCAGTATGTATAGTTTGGAGTAGGATGAGGGAGACTTGGGTTCAAATCCACTGTCAGGCATGACCTTCGGCTAGTTGCACATTGCTGTGAACTCTTCAGGGAAAGGAATGGATAGGCATTTACCAAATTCTGCCCTCTACCACTGAACTCTAGCTCTTCGCCATATAGAGCGGATTCCAAGAGTGAGTGGTCTGTGCTGCGTTTATTTATTTGTTACATTTATTTATTTGCCCAGGTAGCTCAGTCAGTAGAGCATGAGGGTCTTATTTTCCGGGTCGTGCGTTTGAGCCCCACGGTGGGCAAAAGATTCCTGCATTCCAGGGGGTTGGACTAGATGACCCTCAGGTCCCTTCCAAGTCCACAAATCTATGATTCTAATTCTATGATTCTGTATCCTGCTCTTCCTCCAAATGGCGTCTGAGGCCTTCACAGGGGCGGCTCCCTGGTTGCGGAACACTTTCCTCAGGCATTTCATTAGCTTTTGCATAACTGTTTTAAATATTTTTTTATTACAGTGGTACCTCGGGTTACAGACGCTTCAGGTTACAGACTCCACTAACCCAGAAATAGTACCTCAGGTTAAGAACTTTACCTCAGGATGAGAACAGAAATCGCGCGATGGCAGCGGGAGGCCCCATTAGCTAAAATGGTACCTCAGGTTAAGAACGGTTTCAGGTTAAGAACGGACCTCCAGAACGAATTAAGTTCTTAACCCGAGGTACCACTGTACTGTCATTTTAAACCATTACCTCTGTTGTGTAATAGCAGGTGAGATGGTGCTTTTTAACTTTTCAACTTTTAGCTTTTCTGATGTAGAAACATAAGTTGTGGTAAGTTGGCAATTCCTTTATTCTTTTGTGCTGGTTGGGCTTTTCACGTGGATGATGTATACTGTATTAACTGCCGTTTTATATATATGTGTGTGTGTGTATACAGAGGTACCTCGGGTTAAGTACTTAATTCGTTCTGGAGGTCCGTACTTAACCTGAAACTGTTCTTAATCTGAAGCACCACTTTAGATAATGGGGCCTCCCGCTGCTGCTGCGCTGCCGGAGCCCGATTTCTGTTCTCATCCTGAAGCAAAGTTCTTAACCTGAAGCACTATTTCTGGGTTAGCGGAGTCTGTAACCTGAAGCGTATGTAACCTGAGGTACCACTGTATATATGTACACACTCTTTTACTTAGTTTTGCATTTATATTACCTAATGAATCTACATTTTCCGGCAGCTAATAAATATAATGAATGGATATGTAAATAATACGGAACGACAGCCAACATTGCCTGAGTGGAAGTCTGCCTGTGCAATGGGACTTCCCCCTTTCACTGTCAGAGGCAATATGTTTCCGAATACCAGTTGCTGGAAACCGCAGAAGCATGGAGAGGAGCTGTTGAGCTGCTGTTCTGCTTGTGGGTCACTGTGAGAACTGGACGCTGCGGGAACAGGATTCATTCTATCTTATTTTCTTAGGATCTCACCCCATGGGCCTCCTTAAAATTGCTCCTGAGAGTCAGGAGCAGATTGTGGGGCACAGGTGTTGCCATGGGGGCAGGGGAGAGAAGTATATTATTATTATTATTATTATTATTATTATTATTAGTGCTATTTTTCTAGAAAAAGAGGTGCCGGAACTCAATTCCTGTAGGTTCCCCCTGAAAAAAAACCCTGGTTGTTGTTGTTGTTATGTATTATTATTATTATTATTATTATTATTATTATTATTACCCTGCCCATCTGACTGGGTTGCCCCAGTCACTCTGGGTGGCTTCCAACATATAGGAAACCATAATAAAACATTAAGCATTTTTTTTAAAAAAAAACCTTGCCTAAAAAGGGCTGCCTTTAGTTGTCTTCCAAAGGTTGCATAGTTAAAGGTAAAGGGACCCCTGACCGTTAAGTCTAGTTGCGGATGACTCTGGGGTTGCGACGCTCATCTCGCTTTATTGGCCGAGGGAGCCGGCATACAGCTTCCGGGTCATGTGACCAGCATGACTAAGCCGCTTCTGGCGAACCAGAGCAGCACACGGAAATACCGTTTACCTTCCCGCCAGAGCGGTACCTAATTATCTACTTGCACTTTGACGTGCTTTTGAACTGCTAGGTTGGCAGGAGCAAGGACTGAGCTATGGGAGCTCACCCCGTCGCGGGGATTTGAACCGCCAACCTTCTGATCGGCAAGCCCTAGGCTCAGTGGTTTAGACCGCAGCGCCACAAGAACCGTTTTATTTCACAAACGGTTCTTCATTCTGTTGGTGGATAGACAACGACTGGTATCTCCCATGGTGTTTTTGTGTGTGTGTGTGTTGGACATCCTGTTGGAAGCAATGTTGTCTGTGTGTGCGCACACTCATGTGTGTATTTCCCACACATGCAATAGCATATGGCTGTGGGGGCAGTCGTTCACTTGACCTCCCATTGCTCATGTTGCTGCTGTATACAGGGATGGGGAACAGGAGGGGTCAGGCAGCCATGAAGTCAGCGTGGTGCAAACACACCGGCAGAGCCAACCCAGTGTGTTTCCACTGAGTTGTCTCTTCCTCCTCCTACTCACCCCTTCTCCTGCCTGTCTAAGTATGACACAGGTGACCAGAGGTCAGGCCAATACATTCCCTCTGCCGTCACATTATTGTTTAAAAACCCTAAATGACATAGGGCCCTAAATATCTGAAAGACCCCTCCTTCCCTATAGATGCTCTTGGTCCAAGGGGGCCCTCTTAGTGGTTCCCCCACCCAGAACAATTCAGGTGTTGGTGGCCCCAATATTGTGGGACTTTTTCCTCACAGAGTTGCATCTGGCACCTTTATTATATCATTTCTGCTTTATGCTGAAGAAGACACACCTCTCTGCCTTAGGTTTTTTTTTTGGGGGGGGGTGTTTCCAGGACACATTCCATTTCTGTGGCCGTAATTTGCTTTAACTGTTTTTAATATGGAATTTTAAATCTCTGCAACCGGCCTTGGGACCTGATGGTGAAAGGTGGTACTAAATAGAAATAATAAGAATACTGTAATAAAATGATAATAATGTACAGTCATACCTCGGGTTAAATGTGCTTCAGGTTGAGCGTTTTCAGGTTACGCTCTGCGGCGACCCGGACGTAACAGAGCATGTTACTTCCAGGTTTTGCTGCTTGCGCATGCGCAGACGCTCAAAATGACGCCACACGCATGTGCGGAAGCGGCAAATTGCAACCCGCGCATGCGCAGATGCGGGTTGTGTTCGCTTCAGGATGCAAACGGGATCCGTTCCGGAGCCCCATTCGCATCCAGAGGTACCACTGTACATATACAGTCGTACTTTGGAAGTCGAACGGAATCCGTTCAATTCTGAAATGTTCAGAAACCAAGGAGTAGCTTCTGATTGGTTTCCGATTGCGCAGGCGCGCTGGAAAACAATAGTGGAAGCCGCGCCGGACATTCAGCTTCCAAAAAAAGTTTGAAAACCAGAACACTCACTTCCAGTTTTTGATCGTTCAGGAGACAGAACATTTGACTCCCAAGGCGTTTGGGAGCCGAGGTACAAGTGTACACACACTGCGAACAGTTAATCTGGTAAAATTTGACCTGAGGTAAGAATTCTCTCCCGCCCTCCCACCAGGGCCAATACTTAGGCCCCTAGCCGAAAGGTGAGCAAATCTTTCACCCAAAGAATCTTCCGGAAGGAACTGAACACAGGGCAGGCGGGCATGCTTGTTTGTGTTTGAGGGTGTATGAGAGACCAAGAGTACCATCGACATTTAAAAGTTTCCTCTCCACTAAATCAGTCCACCACATCTGAAATGTCTCGCAAGCTGAGGCTGTCCACGCTGCACTTAAAGAATGATGGAAATCAAACAACAGGATTAAAAGGAGGCGGGAAAACATTCCTGACTTCAGTTGGCCAAAATGGAGGCTCCAGGACACGAGCATATACGGCTTCCTGCTACCGAGTCAAACCATAATGCCCATTTATGATCTGGCAGCTATTCTCTGAGGCATCATAAGCAAGAGAGGAGACTTTGGATTTCATTTTAATTTGATCTGGTTTTTATAAGCTGCTCTCTTTTAAAGTCCCCAGGGCACCCATCAGAAAGAATCCAATTTCCCTGCGAAAGAGGCTTCTGTTTCCCCTTTCTCAGGGCACTTGAGGATTAATTTGTTGTTGTTGTTTAGTTGTTTAGTCGTGTCCGACTCTTCGTGACCCCATGGACCAGAGCACGCCAGGCACTACTGTCTTCCACTGTCTCCCGCAGTTTGGTCAAACTCATGCTGGCAGCTTCGAGAACACTGCCCAACCATCTCCTCCTCTGCCATCTCCTTCTTGTGCCCTCCATCTTTCCCAACATCAGGGTCTTTTCCAGGGAGTCTTCTCTTCTCATGAGGTGGCCAAAGTATTGGAGTCTCGGCTTCAGGATCTGTCCTTCCAGTGAGCACTCAGGGCTGATTTCCTTAAGAATGGATAGGTCTGATCTTCTTGCAGTCCATGGGACTCTCAAGAGTCTCCTCCAGCACCAGAATTCAAAAGCATCAATTCTTCAGTGATCAGCCTTCTGTATGGTCCAGCTCTCACTTCCATACATCACTACTGGGAAAACCATAGCTTTTACTATACGGACCTTTGTTGGCAAGGTGATGTCTCTACTTTTTAAGATGCTGTCTAGGTTTAGTGTTTCTTTATTACTTGTGTGAGGGGTGGGGTCTTGAACTTAGTTTGTTTTGGTGAGGGAGCTGAAGGTGCGGGTGTGTTTCTCCCTTCCAACTAAACATTTCTCCAGTGTTCAGCAGCCTCCCCAGGTGCCTGCACTTCCTGATCTGAAAAAGTCAGATGGGAGGGTTTCTCTCCCGTGCACCCAGGAAGGCTGCAGAGGGCAGACAAATGGGAATGTTTTAGACACTCACATTGTTGGCCACCTCAACAGTAAGATAAGCATAGTAGCAGCCAGTGGGGCGACACCGGTGGGATACTGCTGGTGGGGCTGCGTTGATCTTCCGGCTTCTCAATGCTGTGCGTCACTCCTGGTTACTGAGAGGGGGGCTGACAGGAGATAGTTCAGCATGGTGCAAGCACAGCACCAGAAATGTCAATTTGGCTCGACTGCTGTGCCCACAATACAGGATGCAGCTGCAGCCATAAGCAGAGGGGACAAGATGAGAGCTCTCCCAAAAAGCACCCCCAAAGCTGTGGCAGCTCTCTACAGTTTTACAGGTAGAAGGTGTGTGTGTGTGTGTGTTATATATTTTTATTTAAACAAGAAGAAAAACTGGCAGATAACATAAACGCACATAATGAAAATACGCAGTTAAGCAATTTCGTCTGAACATAAAAAAAGAAAAAGATCTGCCATTAAAACGTACAATAAAATAAGCCCATAAAAACGGCAAACAATAAAAAGAGTTAGAACAGCCATTAAAAGCAATAAAATGCAAGAGGTTCAGGAAATCGGGGGAGGGGGGAGGTGTGCCTGTCCAAACTGCTATGTCCTAAACAGATGAAGTCTCCTGGTTATTGGCAGGGAAGACGTTCCGCAGTGTTGCTGCTGCCAGTGGAAAAAGCCTATCTCTCTCTGACTACAAGCTGATAATCATCAGGTTGTGCAACTAACGTGGGTTTGGGGCTCTTTTTACCCCGAAGCGGCTTTTGAAATCCAAATGCACGCTCCATAAACGGGCTGTCTGGAAGAGGCTGTGTCCCCTGCCTCATTCTGTAAAGTGTAGGGTTACTAAAGGTATAACACAACCGCCACACTGTCCTGCAATAGCAACCAGTGAAGTTGAGTCTGGAGAGAAAGAGGGGAGAGCAGGGGAACTTGCAGAATAATGTCATCATACCATTCACTGAATGCCCCCACCACCACATTCATTGGGGTGGGAGCGTAGCTGGTAAGGGGAGCCATGGGAAGACATGCGGCAACGCTTCAGGTTCTGCTGTAGAAGAGCCTGTAAGGTTTATGACAAAACCTATTTATCTGTAGGATTTATTTGTAGGATTTATAGCATTCCTTACCTGCCCACTCACCATTGGAGGTGGAAAGGAGCAGCATGAAGGAGGCTTGCAAAGCATGGGCCTGGCTCATAGCTGTCAACTTTTCCCTTTTCTTGCGAGGAATCCTATTCGGAATAAGGGAATTTCCCTTTTAAAAAAAGGGAAACGTTGACAGCTATGGCCTGGCTATGTCACTGGGAACCCCGTGCAAGGGATTTGGGCAGGTGGGTGTGACATCCCATCTGTCAATCATGTGGTCTCTTGGCGAGTTGTCCAGTCCACCTGTCAAAGTTGGCCAGTGGGATGAGGGCACTGGGCCCCAGGTCCGAAAGGGTTCTCCAGTCCTGCCTTGAAGTATTCTTTAACCAGCTTCAACCCCATTTTGCTTGTACAGTCATACCTCGGGTTACAGACACTTCAGGCTGCGTTTTTTCAGGTTACGGACCCGCTGAAACCCGGAAGTACCAGAACAGGTTACTTCCGGGTTTCTTCCGGGTGCTAAATCGCGCTTTGCGCATGCGCAGAAACGCCGAATCACAACCCGCACATGCGCAGACGCGCCGCTGCGGGTTGCGAGCGTGCATCCCACACTGATCACGTTCGCAACCCAAGCATCTACTGTATTCATTTTTGGTTCACATTTGTCATGGCCAATGACTAGTAAAGGTAAAGGGACCCCTGACCATTAGGTTCAGTCGTGACCAACTCTGGGGTTGCGGCGCTCATCTCGCTTTATTGGCCAAGGGAGCTGGCGTTTGTCCGCAGACAGCTTCCGGGTCATGTGGCCAGCATGACTAAGCCACTTCTGGCGAACCAGAGCAGCGCACGGAAACGCCGTTTACCTTCCCGCCAGAGTGGTACCTATTTACCTACTTGCACTTTGACGTGCTTTCCAACTGCTAGGTTGGCAGGAGCAGGGACCGAGCAACGGGAGCTCACCCTGTCGCGGGGATTCGAACCGCCAACCTTCTGATCGGCAAGTCCTAGGCTCTGTGGTTTAACCCACAGCGCCACCCGTGTCCCTTCAATGACTAGTACAATAAAGTTATTTGGATTGTATTGAGAACCGGCTTCAACTGTCCACAGAGATGGTCTGGCTGGTTCCTTCACTGTTTTGCTGATATGATTCCATCATATACCAGCAAATTCAAGCTATAGCATTTGGAGTAATGAAGGGACATAGCTCACCAGTAGAGTACCTGGCTTTGCATATGGAAGATTCTAGGTTCAATCCCTGGTATCTTCAGGAAAAGCTGTGAGAGATCCTAGCTAGAAATTCTGAAGAGCCTCTGCCAGTCAGTGTAGGCTGGGTGGACCAATGACCAGACTCATCGTAACGCAGTTTAAAAAAAATGTTTGCCTGCCCACCTCCAAAACAAACTGGAATGGCGGGATTTTTGTAGTCAGAAAAGTGTGGGAAGATGCCCTTGAAAGTGTGGGGCAACCGTGACATCGCTCAGTGTCAAGTAACCTGCACGCAAACAAAAAAATAGCATTGCCATTTAACCTCTGCGTGAATTTTGTGCTGGCAAATCAGGGCGAACGGTCCGGAAACAGGATATCTGGGTGAGGCCCCTGCTTAAAGACTTGAGGTCCTTGTCCTAGCCTTGGTTATCTGTCAGGACAACCAATGTTGTTTCACGGGCAAAAACCAGGCCAGAAACTAGATTGGATGAAGATTGGAGGGAGTGATGGTTTGGAATGATCAAATCCCTGCTTGGCCACGAAGCATTTTCCACAGGCGGCCTTGATCTTATCCGCTTTCCTTGGCCTAACTTCTGGTGACTGGTTCTGTTTGGGCAGTCGGTGGAGTCAAGGAATAGTTGGATTCTCTTCCACCTGCTCCCTGCTATGTTCTGCAAGGGCAATCCTGAGTTGGAGGAGGAGGAGAAAACAGACAGGCAGTGGATGTTAGAATTCCTGATCTATGATTGCAGTCATGAGACCCCCATGACTGGTTGTAAGAAGGCAGGGAGGTAGGAGCCCAGGCTGAGGTTGGGGGCTCCACCCCCATTTAGCTTAACTGACCAGCCTTCCCTGTTGCTGTTCATTACGGTTGCCTATGACGTAGGTGATATTCTGGAAAGCATTCGCGACAAGGGAAACGATGGTAATAAAGGGTGGGTGGACCAAGAGCAGGGGTCAGCAAACTTTTTCAGCAGGGGGCCGATCCACTGTCCCCCAGACCTTGTGGGGAGCCAGACTATATTTTGAAGGGGGGAATGAACAAATTCCTATGCCCCACAAATAACCCAGAGATGCATTTTAAATAAAAGGACACATTCTACTCATGTAAAAACACACTGATTCCCGGACCGTCCGTGGGCTGGATTTCGAAGGCAATTGGGCCGGATCTGGCCCCCGGGCCTTAGGTTGCCTACCCGTGACCAAGAGGAATACAATTCATCCCCACATGCCTTTCCATCATTGATGCCAAGACCCGGCCAGATAATTCTTTAATGAGCTTCTCTCAGATATTATCTGCCTTGGAGAGATTCCCAGCAAGAGAGCAAATGGATGGGATCCCTGCAGGCCATTGTCTGACAGCGCAATTCCTCAAAAGTAATCCCCACCGATTCCAGCGGGGATTACTCCCAGGAAAGCAGGCATTCGATTGTGGCTTCAGTGAAGAGAGGAAGGTGCTCAGAGCCTGGGTGGCTGGGTGGCTCAAAATTTTGAGGGGCTCAAAATAACATCTTTTTCTGACTGGCCATTAGCCTGGCGATCTAGAGAGTGTGAAGACTTGACGTGCCCCCTGCACTCTGTAGGAACTTCCCATCATCCTCCAGAGTTCACAGAGGCCCTGTGGCAAAAATAAGAGAGACACTCATGTGGAGACCTGCTCCCTAGAGATAAGAAGCTTGACAAATACTGAATTAGAACATGTGCAGACAATGCTTTGGACGATTCTTTCAAATTGATGTGTAAAACCCACCCTTGCTCGTCTCTTTATCTCCTGTTCAGGGAAGTTTTTCATATGTGATATTTTAGTGTATTTTTCATCTTTGTTGGAAGCCGCCCAGAGTGGCTGGGGAAACCCAGCCAGATGGGCGGGGTACAAATAATAAATTGTTATTATTATTATATCCTTGTTAAAGGCACCCCTATTTTCTGCAAAGTCTAAGACTTTCCTTGTTTTCATGTTTTGTGTAAAGCGATTGCATGACCCATCAGAGGGTGGCAACACGAGAACGGGGCCTTCTCTGCAGTGGCTCCCTGTCTGTGGGACGCTATCCCCAGGGAAGATCGCCTGCTGCCTTCATTTATACACCTTTAGGCGCCAGGCAAAAATGTTCCTTTTTAACCAGGCCTTTGGTTGATCCTATTGACATCCTATGCCCTTTTAAAATGTGTTTTTTTTTATGGGGACGGAGCTATTGGGTTGTTGTTTTTATTAGGTATTTTGTGGTTTTATATCTTGATTTTATTCTGTGAGACCCCTGGGTATAGGGCGGTATTTAAATTCAATAAATAATGATGATGATTTTATGGGGAGCGCTATTGGGTTGTTGTTTTTATTAGGTATTTTGTGGTTTTATATCATGATTTTATTCTGTGAACTGCCCTGAGACCCCTGGGTATAGGGCGGTATATAAACTCAATAAATGATGATGATGATGATGCCATAGAATTCTCTGAAATTGCTTATACTATCCTTCGTCCTTCTCCCCTTTGCCCTCAATTTTCTCAATCGTTCTCCTTCCAAACTCGTCTTCCCTAGCTCATCTGTTTGTAGGACTGGTTATGTTATGTATTGAAGTTCTCACCCTGGCCACCAGGGGTATCGTGTATATAGTTTTCACTCAGGTCCACGTCAGTTAATTTAGGCGGGAAACCCTGCGTTGTTGTTGTTACCATGTTGACCGCCGGCTGCCTTATAAAAGCAGGCCGGCTGAGCTGTTTGTAGGCTAGTAGTAGGGCTTCTAGGGGTTAAACCACAGAGCCTAGGACTTGCCGATCAGAAGGTCGGTGGTTCAAATCCCCGCGACGGGGTGAGCTCTCGTTGCTCGGTCCCTGCTCCTGCCCACCTAGCAGTTCGAAAGCACGTCAAAGTGCAAGTAGATAAATAGGTACCACTCCGGCGGGAAGGTAAAAACGGCGTTTCCGTGCGCTGCTCTGGTTCGCCAGAAGCGGCTTAGTCATGCTGGGCACATGACCCAGAAGCTGTACGCCGGCTCCCTCGGCCAGTAAAGCGAGATGAGTGCTGCAACCCCAGAGAAGGCCACGACTGGACCTAATGGTCAGGGGTCCCTTTACCTTTACCTTAGTTGGGCTACTGGACATTTAAACCAAAATAGCCATAATTTCTCTCTCTCTCCCACACAGATGCTAAGCCCCCTCCAGAAATGTGGCTCCGAAGGCTGCCTGGTAGACTGCGATTTTTTCCCTTGGCACAGGAGCACCCTCCGAAGGCGGCACCAGAGCTTCGAGGAGTCGGAGTCCGGGGGTGACCACGAGGCTCCCAGCCAGGAGAAACCCTCCCCTCCCAGCATCCTCTTGGAGGGCGCAGAAGTGTCCACCTGCCTCCAGATCCCCCTGCAAGACCCCGGAGGGGTGTGGCGATCCCGCAGCGAGGGCCGCCTGGACCAAAAGGGGGTGCCGTGTCCAGGGGAGACCGAGGTGGTGGACAAAACAGGAAGCGGGTGGAGCTTGCCGTCCCCTAAGTCTTTGAGGAAAGAGCGACGCCTCAGAGGGAGAGTTGCGGCGGCCAAGCAGCACTTGAGGAATCTCTTCGGAGGGTCCAACAAAGTCAGTGGGCGGCCATTACTCCTCCCCACACAGCACTGCCCTTTTGTTAATAATAATAATAATAATAAACAAAAATTATTTATACCCTGTCCTTCCCAGTTCAGGAAACCGGGCTCAGGGCGGCTAACGCTTAATTGATGCAACAAAAAACAGCATAAAGTGCAGTGTAAAACGTGAATAACAATAAAATCAGAATTCAAAAATCAATTTAGGGGGGAAATCCATCCAATAAACATTAGATGATCAACAGGGCTAGCTGGCTAAATTAGTCCTATTTGGGCCAGTGAGGAGACCAAGGGAGAATTAGCTGTGGGATCCCAGAGCGGGTAATCTTCATAAAAAGGGGAGGGGGAGGGAAGGAAGGAAGGGGAATAAAAGATCAGACTAAGTTCAAATTAAAAGCCAGGTGGAATAGCTCTGTCTTACAGGCCTGGCGGAAGGAAGTTAAATCCTGCAGGGCCCTGGCCTCATGGGACAGAGCATTCCACCAGGTCAGAGCCATCACTGAAAAGGCCCTGGCCCTGGTGGAGGATAGTCTGACTTCCTTAGGGCCCGGGACCTCTAAACTATGACTATTCATGGACCTTAAGGTCCTCTTACTTGTTGCTTAACGTCCATCTTTCTTCTTTCCACAAACTCACCCGCCACCGCACACCACTTCCAGGAGAAACTGCGAGCCCAGATTTTATTTTATTTTAGCTGGGTTGTATAAATATTTTAGTGTCTTTGTTCCCAATGGTTTTAATCTCTGGAATTTCCTGCAGTGAAAAAAAGAGAGAACGAGACAGAAAAGCACATCCCGAGGCTAAATAGAAAGCTGATAATTCATTACCAAGGAAGGGTTATGCCAAAGGGCCTGGGAGCCTGGACTCCTGGGTTCTCTAGAGAGGGATCAGAGACTAATAAGTGATGCAAAGGATCTGAGAGGCAAAGTCCTTTGTCTAGTAGGTTTGCTGATGCCCTTGTAGCTTAACTGACTCCTGTGGCTGAGAGTACTGTGAGGGGATGGGTCTTTGAAACCTCTTGTGAGTTAAGTGACTCACTGATTGAATAATAATAATCAATACAGTGGAACCTTGGGTTTCAAACGCTTCAGGTTACAGACTCAGCTAACCCGGAAGTAGTACCTCGGGTTAAAAACTTTACCTCAAGATGAGAACAGAAATCGCACGGCAGCAGCGGGAGGCCCCATTAGCTAAAGTGGTACCTCAGGTTAAGAACAGTTTCAGGTTAAGAAGGGACCTCCAGAACGAATTAAGTTCTTAACCAGAGGTACCACTGTAACAACATTTACATATTAAGGAGAATTGTCTTGGATGACCTTTACAGATGGCCCATCCCCCCCCCTTTAAATGTTTTGAGAACCTAAATAATAATCATGATATGTATATCCCGCCCATCTAGCTGGGTTTCCCCAGCCACTCTGGGCGGCTCCCAACAGAACACTAACAACAGAATAAAAACTTCTAACATTAAAAACTTCCCTAAACAGGGCTGCTTGCAGGTGTCTTCTAAAAATCAGATAGTTGTTTATTTCCTTGACAACTGATTGGAGGGCATTCCACAGGGTGGGCGCCACTACCGAGAAGGCCCTCTGCCCAGTTCCCTGTAACCTCACTTCTTGCAGTGAGGGAACCATCAGAAGGCCCTCGGCGCTGGACCTCAGTGTCCGGGCAGAACGATGGGGGTGGAGAGGCTCCTTCAGGTATACTGGACCAAGGCCATTTAGGGCTTTAAAGGTCAGCACCAACACTTTGAATTGTGCTCGGAAACGTACTTGGAGCCAATGTAGGTCTTTCAGGACCGGTGTTATATGGTCTCGGCGGCCGCTCCCAGTCACCAGTCTGGCTTTATATCTCAAGATATAAAGAGGGCCCTGTGCATAAGCTGAGGCGACTCTAGCCCTGAATTCAGTGAAATGCAGGGGACGGCATAAAATCCCCTGGCCTCTGGAAGCGGTTGTGGGACCCTGGACACCTGGGTCCCTTGGGGCATCACAGAACTCGAACTCTTGTTTCTGTGTTTCAGTCTCTGGCGTCGAGTGTGGAATCGGATCTGGGATCAGAAGGTGACAGCAACTGCCAGGCACAGCAGAGGCAAAAACGCCGCCGGTGAGTTGAGTAGCTAAAAGCAGAGCTATAATCTTCCAGGTCCTGGTTTAAATCTCACCTCCTCCTTCGACTTGCTGGGTAGCTGTACTACAGTCATACCTTGGTTCTCAAACGCCTTGCGACTCGAACGTTTCAGCTCCTGAACTCCACAAACCCGGAAATGAGTGTTTGCGAATGTTTTTTTGGAAGCTGAACATCTGTCACAGTTTCTGCGGCTTCCGGTTGAGTGCAGGAAGCTCCAGCAGCCAATCGGAAGCCACGCCTTGGTTTTCAAATGTTTTCAGAAGTCGAACAGACTTCCGGAACGGATTCCGTTCAAGAACCAAGGTACGACTGTATTCCTGAGCCCGCAAGATTTCATCTGGCCGGCTAAACCAGGTGAGGGCAGCCAATGGGCCTCAAACCGTTGATGAGTTAGGGCTTCAGCGGATTGAGCAAACGGGACCCAATAGTGGGTCCAGTGGTCAAGAAGGCAGTTTCTGCATGTGCTGTAGAGGGAAGTGAGGGGCATATGGGGTTCGTCAACCTGGGAAGGTAGCCCATCTAGGAGAAGGAAAACCATGATGGCCTTGGAGGTCCCAGGCCACAGGGAGGTTAGGCTGGCCTCAACCAGAGGCAGGGCTTTTTCGGCTGTGGCTCCGATCTGGTGGAACACTCTGTCACAAGAGACTAGGGCCCTGCGGGACTTGACATCTTTCCACAGGGCCTGCAAGACAGAGCTGTTCCGCCTGGCCTTTGGCCAAGGCACAGCCTGACCCCCTCCTTTGGTAATCCTCACAGAACTCTAGCCCAATGGATGCGATTTAATTAATTCGGTTTTGAATTGATTTTAGAATGATGTGTTACTTTTGTTGTTAGCCGCTCTGAGCCCAGCTTCAGCTGGGGAGGGCGGGATATAAAGAAAAAATTATTATTATTATTATTATTATTATTATTATTATTATTATCTTAAACCTCCACTGCTTTGTGGGAGATCTTCAGGAGAAGAAAAGGCTAAGGAGTAAATCTTACACAAATTCAGAGCAGAGTCCCTAAGACTGTTAGATGGTGCCTTGTATGCCTTCTTCCGGCAACTCCTGCAGCCAAGTTGGTGCCAAATGTTACCATAATTTATAATAATAATTTATTATTTATACCCTGCCCATCTGACTGGGTCTCCCCAGCCACTCTGGGCGGCTTCCAACCAAATATCAAAAACAAAAACAAATACAGAGCAAAATGTTGTTGCTCTGCTTTCCTTTGGACCACATCAGCAAGGCCAAGAGGGGAGTCTTGTCCTCTGGGCAGCCCAAGAACTCCAGACACACTGCCCAGGGTTGCGCCCCAGGGAAGGTCACTTTGGTGATGCTAAGGCAGCAGATTGGCTTCACCTCCCGTAGGCACAGTCCATTGTCTCTCAAGACAGAACAAATGCAGACAACAATCCCCGAGCCCCCAGGTCTGTAATACGGCAACGATAAATGCTAGCAGCCTGCCTTTCAAGGTTGTTGTAAAGATGACCAAAAGAACGTACCTTATTTTTCGCCCTATAGGGCGCACCGGCCCATAGGGCGCACCTAGTTTTTTTGGGGGGGTGAATAAAGAAAAAAAATCCCCCCCCCCAGGCACGGGGCTGGGACGGGGGAAGCCCGAGCTTCCCCCGACCCCAGCCCCCAGAACAGGCTGCTATCTGCAAGCCTAGGAGAGCAAGAGGGGTCGGTGCGCACCGACCCCTCTCGCTCTCCAAGCTTCAGCGAAAGCCTGCATTCGCCCCATAGGACGCACACACATTTCCCCTTCATTTTTGGAGGGGAAAAAGTGCGTCCTATAGGGCGAAAAATACGGTATCTACTGAGGCACTTCAGCAGGGAAAGGTGCTATAAAATGCTAAAGAGATTCTAACACCTATTTCTGATAAAGTTCCAATCTTGCCTTACATGTGGAAAATGGGGGTAATACTGTAGATCTACTTTGTAGGACTTACTGAGATACGAACAGGATCAGGCCAATGGCTCATCTGCTCATCTGCTCCAGCTTTCAATACTGTTCGTTGCCTGAAAATGTCTTGGGTTGGACTTACTACTTCTTTTCCAGTTGGTGAATGGCTCATAGCTTCCTGATGCAATCCTGTAACTTTTTGTACCCAATGTTCTGGTTTGTTTCCCACAACCTGCTGTTGTTGCACAGAAGCTCAGGAGTGGCTCCTTGGACACTAACATCAGAGGAGCACCGCAGAGCAACTAGGAAAGAGAAACAATGCTCAGATGGGCCAGTATAAATGCACCTCTAATGCACTCTTGTTGCATCAATGATGTGTTGCAGAATACCGCCCCCCGGGGGGGGCAAACCCCACACCAATCTGAAGGTTGGCTTCCGCTGCCTCTTTGCATTTGATTTACTTTTTCTTTCTTTCTTTTCAAAAGGAGGAAAAATAAAAGAAACTTCCTAAGGTTATGGAGCTCAGGGGGTAATGAAATTCAATCCCTAAGGTAATTTAGCTCTCTTATTCTAACAAGAAGTGTGTGTGTGTGTGTGTGTGTGTGTGTGTTTGTGAGAGGGGGGGTGAGGCTTCAGTGGACCATACAGTTATTATTCTGTATCTCTGTCAGGGCCGGCCCTACCATTAGATGAAGAGATGTGGGAGATAATGGGCCAGGGCAGTAGTTGCAGCCCTGGCTTGTTCTCATAAGCCCCTCCCTGGACTACTCCTCTCTGTTGCAGGACAGAGCTGTGCATACTAGCCCGTCCCCCTAGACTAGCCTGCTGCCCCAGGTGTACACCATTGCATCACCAGTGCTCGTAGCAGAGTAAGATTTTTTCCATGAATTTAGTTTTAACACTGAGTCCGTAAATGACTGTGGAGGCCAATTCTGGATCCACACATCCTTCCACACTGGGGACATAGGTTTCCGAGTAGGAGTTGATCGCGGTGAGGGTTTGCCAAGTGTGCTTTCCTATTAGTACATTTCTCCCCAGTGTGGTGTAGTGGTTAAGAGCGGTAGTCTCGTAAATCTGGGGAACCGGGTTCGCTTCCCCGCTCCTCCACATGCAGCTGCTGGGTGACCTTGGGCCAGTCACACTTCTCTGAAGTCTCTCAGCCTCACTCACCTCACAGAGTGTTTGTTGTGGGGGAGGAAGGGAAAGGAGAATGTTAGCCGCTTTGAGACTCCTTCAGGTAGTGATAAAGCGGGATATCAAATCCAAACTCCTCCTCCTCTTCCTCCTCCTCCTCCTCCTCCTCCTCCTCCTCCTTCTTCTTCTTCTTCTTCCTCCCTTTCGTGCTGAGTTTGAGCACCTTCAAAGCCCATGACACCTTTGGTAAAGGCTGTTCTCCAACTGGAGCACTCGCAGGCCAGTGTTTCCCAGTTGTTGGTGTTTGTACTAAATTTTTTTAGATTTGTCTTGAGAGCATCTTTAAGCCTCTTTTGTTGACCGCCGACATTACACTTTCCATTTTTAAGTTCAGAATAGGGAAGTTGCTTTGGAAGACAATCATTAGGCAACTTGACCAGTCCTGCCTAACAGGGTGTAACCCTGCAAGTCTATGATTCCATGGAAAGCTCTTAGTCCTGCTACTAAGTACCTGGACGGAAATGGCAAAGGAAGGCGTTTTTTAAATCAAGAGGTGGAGGGACGTGGGGAGGAGATGGATTGGTAATGGGGAAAATACATTTGTAATAAGCCAGCAATGAATCACATTGTTTTTCGTTTTTAATTTTTAATCCTTCTTGTTAACCCGTCCACTTAACCTCTTCTTCCAGGAAGAGCTATAGGCCATTTAGATCTGGTCTGGGGCCAAAACTCTTTTAAAAGTGGTCCGCGGTGCAGGGAGTGTGTTCGTCTCGATGTTGTCGATTATCTGCCTGATTTCTGCGAGTGAATCTAGTAGAATTATGGGTTGGCCGGATAGAGACGGAGATTTGAGCTGTGGTGCAGTTATCAAAAATGGCCCATGGCTTAATGATCTTACGAGGAGCGGCCCTCTTGAGACAGCAATACGCATTACTTCCCTTGCCTCACAAGGCAGCAAGCCGGCTCTGCTGTGTTTAGGGTCATTCCTGCTTATTTTGCCGAGTGGGAGTCTGGACCTGTGCCCTGAAGTTCCCTTCTGAAGGCGCCACAGGAGTTCACAGAAGAATATCAGCGTTCCTTTAGTGCAACTACCACCAACCTGTGGCGAGGCAAGATGGGATCTGTAGTCCAACAACATCCAGAATGCCACAGGTTCCCCAGTCCATGCTGTGAAGAGTAGGACCTGGGAGGCCTTATGCAACTCTGGCCAAATTGCTTCTGGGCTCAGAGGGCAGCCGGTTCCCAGTTGCTCAGACACTTTCTCTCTTATAGGCCAACTCCTGAGGAGGCGCAAGAATGGGCTGAATCTCTGGAAAAGTTACTGCTTCATCCATGTAAGTGTGTGGTTCAGAACCACTAAAAGTCTTTAGAAAAGCTGCCACAGCATATTATGTTATATTATTATTATTATTACTATTATTATTATTATTATTATTATTATTATTATTAAATTAATAAAATTATTATTGATTACATTTGCCTACTACCCTTTATCCACATAGAAATACTATCCCTCCCATTTTCCCTTTCCAAGAAACAAGAGCTGAAAATCCGAAGCAGAAAACAATTACCGTATTTTTCGCTCTATAAGACTCACCTGACCACAAGACGCACCTAGTTTTTAGAGCAGGAAAACAGGAAAAAAATATTCTGAATCAAATGTTGTTGAAGAGGCTTTGCACTGCTATCCCTGAAGCCAGAACAGGAAGAGGGATTGCTGCACAGCAATCCCTCTTGCTGTTCTGGCTTCAGCGAAAGCAACGCAGCCTGCATTCGCTCCATAAGATGCACACACATTTCCCCTTACTTTTTAGGAGGGAAAAGGTGCGTCTTATAGAGCAAAAAATACGGTATGTACAGAAATTTCATAGAATCGTGGAATTGTAGAGCTGGAAGGGAACCTAAGGGGTAATCCAGTCCAGCCTCCTGCAATGCAGGAATCTCAGCTAAAGCATTTGCACCCTTTATTCCAATAAAATAATTTGGATTCTTTGAGGGGAAACCCCTGACTCCTCCATCCCTCTTCCCTGCAGATGGACGGTCTGTCTTCCACGCTTTCCTCAAGTCAGAGTTCAGCGAAGAGAATTTGGATTTCTGGCTAGCGTGCGAAGACTACCGGAAGCTGCGAGGCTGCGACAAACTCCAGGACAGCGCCAAGAAGATCTATGACCAATACGTCACCATCCACGCCCCCAAAGAGGTAAGAGAACTGGGCTCGATAAGCACGCTTCCAAAACTATCCTCACCCAAAATGCCTTTTGAATGAGCTGGTCTTCTTTTCTGAGGCGGATGCAGAGGGATGGGTGAGGTTTTCTTAACCAGGGGTTAGCCCAAGACATTTCACCACCTGAAGCAGACCTTGACATGGCACCCCCCACCTCTGCGCCAGGGAAGAAAGGGTCAGGGAATTTCTGCATCAGGAACAAGAGTGGGGGAGAAAGATTGGCATCGGGATCTGCTGTGCCGCAGAACTCTGTCACCTGAGGCGGTCGCCTCACCTTGCCTCATAGGTGCGCTGGCCCTACACTGTGATGTTGTGGGTAAAGTCCTGGACTAGGACCTGGGAGACCAGGGTTTGAATCTCCACTCATCCAAGTAGCCTACTGAGTGACCTTGGGCCAGTCACTATCTCTCCTCCCTCACAGGGTCGTTGTGAGGAAAAAATGAAGAGGAGGAGAAGGGTGTACACCACCTTGAGGTGGAATATGAACATATCATCGTCATCTGGGGGGGAGAGATGTGCTTTGACTGTATGGTATTGGATGTGACCCGAGTCACCAAATCATCTTCCTGCCAGTTCTCCACCTCTGCTCTACACTGCACTTTGCCTATGAGTTAATCCGGACTTAGTAATTTCTTTTTCTTTTTCCCAACTCCCTGCTTGATGCTACCTTTGGTATCCTACTGCCATTTTGGCCACGCCTCTCCATCCCGACCCACAGACACCTGTTTTCAGTGCTCCAATTCTCCCCTGCAGCTATGACTGTATTATTATTATTCTTATTATTCTTCTTATTATTATTATCACCCTGCCCATCTGGCTGGGTTTCCCAAGCCATTTTGGGTGGCTCCCAACAGAATATTAAAAGCACAATAGAACACCAAACATTAAATACTTCCCTAAACAGGGCTGGGACGTGGGTGGCGCTGTGGGTTAAACCACAGAGCCTAGGACTTGCCGATCAGAAGGTCGGCGGTTCGAATCCCTGCGATGGGGTGAGCTCCCGTTGCTCGGTCCCTGCTCCTGCCAACCTAGCAGTTCGAAAGCATGTCAAAGTGCAAGTAGATAAATAGGTACCGCTCTGGTGGGAAGGTAAACAGCGTTTCCGTGCGCTGCTCTGGTTCGCCAGAAGCGGCTTAGTCATGCTGGCCACATGACCCGGAAGCTGTACGCCGGCTCCCTTGGCCAATAAAGCGAGATGAGCACCGCAACCCCAGAGTCGGCCACGACTGGACCTAATGGTCAGGGGTCCTTTTACCTTTAAACAGGGCTGCGTTCAGATGTCTTCTAAAAGTCAGGTAGTTGTTTATTTCCTTGACATCTGATGGGAGGGCATTCCACAGGGTGGGCGCCACTACCAAGAAGGCCCTCTGGCTGGTTCCCTGTGTGCTAGCAGTTGATTAAATCGCTGTAGCAACAGCCATTTCCTGGCATGTAACCTGACCACTTCCATCTCATGTTTGCAGGTGAACCTTGACTGCCAGACCAGAGACATCACAAATCGGAACATTTTGCTACCCACTCGTTCGTGCTTCGAACAGGCTCAGCGGCGCATATACGGCCTGATGGAAAAGGACTCGTACCCCAGATTTCTCCGGTCCCTCCTTTACCAAACCTTGTCACAGCCTGACAGACACCAACCCAACGGGCCTGTGTAAACCAGCCATATTTGCCTTTCGTTCTTTGGAGAGGAGGCCCGTCTAGGATAGCAGGAACCAAAGACGAAGACCTCCTTCTTCCTAGACTTCCTCCGGCGGACTGTTTAGGATGTATGCAGCCCAAAAGCAGGAGAGATGGATTGGCCTGACGTTAACATCAATGCTGGCGAGGCTGTGGACTTGCCACCAGGGGCGGACTTGGGAAATCTTTCATAATATGGCACCCTGCGTGAGGCCAAAATGTGGCGCCCCCAAGTGGATCTTCTCAATTATGGATCTTCTCAGTTTTGCACCCCCTTGGCTCTTCGGCCTTTCTGGGGAAACAGCCCACACCACCCTAAGTCTGGCTCTGTTGCCACACCAGCACGCCAATCTTTTCGTGGAGGAAAGAGCTCATGGAAAGTTGGAGCTGGTGCCCATTTGCCCATGGGGAGAACTTTTTGTGGACTGATGCAAAAAAATAATAATAATACTAGAAGTATAGAATCACTGACCATGAGCTGTATGTGTTTTTTGTGTGTCTGCGGTCCTGTTGCGACATTGGAATTTCCACATACAGTGGTACCTCGGGTTAAGTACTTAATTCGTTCCGAAGGTCCGTTCTTAACCTGAAACTGTTCTTAACCTGAAGCACCACTTTAGCTAATGGGGCCTCCTGCTGCCGCCAGAGCACGATTTCTGTTCTCATCCTGAAGCAAAGTTCTTAACCCAAGGTACTATTTCTGGGTTAGCGGAGTCTGTAACCTGAAGCGTGTGTAACCTGAAGCGTATGTAACCCGAGGTACCACTGTATTAGGTCGAAACGGGTCTATTGTCACCACTTGGCACCCATGGGCGGCTGCCAATACCCCAGGAGCTGACTGGTACACGCCCTGGGCACCCCCTTAGAAACAGCAACAACAAATACATCTGGTGATCGGCCTTGTTTTGAATTTCCCCAGCTGCCCCTGCCACAGCACTGCCCTGGGTCATTGTGGGAAATTTAAATGGTGGGACTGTTTGTGGCAGCAGTGGGGCCTGGAGTAAGAGGGCCCCTAGAGAGGGCACGATGCCAAAGCGGTCACTTCCCAGGCTTTCCCCCACATGATGCCCTCCAGACATTTTGAACTACAGCTCCTCAGCTAGTATGGTCAGAGTCGTAGTCCAAAAAAATCTGAGAGGCACCATGCTGGGGAAACTTAACCTCCTCTGGCTAGCTGCATCTCACCCGTGTCTTGAGCAGAAGGTCTTTTCCATCCCTCGGTTCTTGATTCTTTTAACTGGAGAGGACAGGGACCAAAACCAGGGCCTTCTGGGTACAAGCCTTGCGGGGTCTACCAACGGGGCCTTCTCTTAATAATAATAATAACAATAACAACAACAATTAATGATAATAATACCCCGCCCATCTGGTTGGGTTTCCCCAGCCACTCTGGGCGGCTCCCAACAGAATGTTAAAAGCACAATAAAACATCAAGCATTAAAAAACTTCCTTGTACAGAGCTGCCTTCAGGTGTCTTCTAAAAGTCAGGTAGTTGTTTATTTCCCTGACATCTGGTGGGAGGGCGTTCCACAGGGCGGGCGCCACCACTGAGAAGGCCCTCTGCCTGCTTCCCTGTAATCTCGCTTCTTGCAGTGAGGGAACCACCTCGGTGCTGGACCTCAGTGTCCAGGCTGAACGATGGGGGTGGAGACGCTCCTTCAGGTATACTGGACCGAGGCCGTTTAGGGCTTGAAAGGTCAGCACCAACACTTTGAATTGTGCTCTGAAACGTACTGGGAGCCAATGTAGGTCTTTCAGGACCGGTGTTACATGGTCTCGGCGGCCGCTCCCAGTCACCAGTCTAGATGCCACATTCTCGATTAGTTGTAGTTTCCGGGTCACCTTCAAAGGTAGCCCCACATAGAGCGCATTGCCGTAGGCCAAGCGGGAGATAACCAGAGCATGCACCACTCTGGCGAGACAGTCCGCGGGCAGATAGGGTCTCAGCCTGCGTTCCAGATGGAGCTAGTAGACAGCTGCCCTGGACATCTGTGCCTCCATGGCTGCAACGGGCCCCAGCAGGCCACCCTGTGGATGCAATGGGCCCTAGTGGGCCTCTTCCTGCCATGCAAGGTCACACACATGCACCCCCCCCCCCAAAGTTGGGCAGAACCCAGTGCATGTGGTGAAGGATGAGGCCTAAGGAGAAGGCAAGTAGCCTGGGAGAGGGGCATGGCCTAGGGTCCTGAGGGTCAAACAGAGAGGCCTGGAAGGCTGCATTAGTCCCCTATGGCCTGAGGATCCCCACACCTGTTGTACATAGAGTGAAAGCCCTCTGGCCGGATCCTCAACAGGGTGGGAGCTTACGTAGCCCTATTTCAAACCTGCTCAGGGATGGCGTTGTTGTAAACAAAATCTGCCCTTCTTCCCTTATGGGGTATCCAAGAGCCCGTATAGAGTCCTTAAGTGGGTTCCCTATCGGTAGGATAAAATAACAGAGGCCAGCCAGATAATATTGAGAAGCAAAGCAGCTAGTAAGCCTGATCTTTATTAAAGCTGTTTCAACAGGGTGCTCCCCTCACACGCAGGAAGGGAGGAGGACCCAGAACCAAGATGTGCCTGTCCTTATATAGACATTTTAAATTCCCTGCCCTGGCGCTCAAGACCACCCCTCCATACATCATACAGTGGTGCCTCGCAAGACGAAAAGAATCCGTTCCGCGAGTCTCTTCGTCTTGCGGTTTTTTCGTCTTGCGAAGCAAGCCCATTAGCGGTTTAGCGGATTAGCGCTATTAGCGGCTTAGCGGGCTTAGCGGATCAGCTGATAAGCGGCTTAGTGGCTTAACAGATCAGCTGTTAAGCGGCTTAGCGGATCAGCTGATAAGCGGCTTAGCGGATCAGCTGATAAGCGGCTTAGCGGATCAGCTGATAAGCGGCTTAGCGGATCAGCTGATAAGCGGCTTAGCGGATCAGCTGATTAGCGGCTTAGCGGATCAGCTGATAAGCGGCTTAGCGGCTTCGGAAAAAGGGGGGGAGGGGAAAAAACCCGCAGGAACTCGCAAGACATTTTCGTCTTGCGAAGCAAGCCCATAGGAAATTCGTTTTGCGAAGCACCTCCAAAACGGAAAACCCTTTCGTCTAGCGGGTTTTCCGTCTTGCGAGGCATTCGTCTTGCGGGGCACCACTGTACATACATCACAGAAGGGGTGTAACCCAAGACCACCCCCCACAAACATCATACCTACATCACAGAAAAGGTGGTCTACAACAGAAATTTGAATGTTGTTGTTTTTCCTGTTTGCCAGGTTATCTGATAATGCCTTATCTGATTGCCTTTCCTGGTAGTCTGGCCATTCCTCTGAGATGACGATTACCCAACTCCTGAGACAATGGGAAGGTTCCCTCGCCCCCTCCCTCCTTGCAGAGAAAACATTTGGTCAGTTTGGGAGTCAAAATGGTTTCAGGGCGGTCTTCCTGTGCTGCTCCCGACATGTAGTCCACCTATCTATATGTACATGCTTGGTTGGTACATTTATGAACATTTATTATATATATAAGACCTTAATTTTTTTATTACAGCGTCACTGTGGACCTGCAGCCTGAGGCTGGGTATTTTCTGGAACTCTCTGCTCTCGGTCCTCAGAACTCCCTTTAATTTTAATTTATTAATGCTGCAATGGTATAAATTGCTTGCTGGCCTGAGGCCATCAAAGCAGCGTACAGCAAGACAAAGGTAAAATAAAATACTAGCTGTACATATTCTAAAAGCATTGCTACAGATGCACAATTAATATTTCATAAATGACCGGATCGCACTTCAGGGAAAGGCTTCACATCATGATACCAGGTGCCTGTCAAATTTCAGCCGGTAATTGATTCCAGAAGGCTGGTAGCTGCAACACCGAAAGCCCCGTTTTGAGGGATATATGGGGGAGAGGCAGTTCTTCAGGTAACCTGGTTCCAAGTTGCTTTAGGGTCTTGACGCGCAGAAAGGGATCAAGATGTACGCAACTCAGTTTCAGCAACTGGCGGGCGATTTGAAGTCTTTGGGTTATCCAGGCCTTTTCCCTTCAAGACAGAGCAATGCTATCTGTCTGCTGCACTTCTGGCTTTAATTCTCGGCTTCCATCATGCGGCCTCAGAGACTCTCATGGAAGACTGCATGCCAGGCAGGAACCTAAACAAGGACTTTATTGGTTGTCTGAACCAAGGACAGGGTAGACACAGGAAAACTCCTGCTTCCATCTAGATTACAACGCCACCTGGTGACTCAAGTGTATAACGACGCTATCCACAAAGTGTTCATCAGAGTTTGAATATTAAAGCTACCGGTATGGTTTTTCCAGTAGTGATGTATGTAAGTGAGAGCTGGACAATAAAGAAGGCTGATCGCCGAAGAATGGATGCTTTTGTATTCTGGTGCTGGAGGAGACTTTTGAGAGTCCCATGGACTGCAAGAAGATCAAACCTATCCATTCTGAAGGAAATCAGCCCTGAGTGCTTACTGGAAGGACAGATCCTGAAGCTGAAACTCCAATACCTCATGAGACCACCTCATGAGAAGAGAAGACTCCCTGGAAAAGACCCTGATGTTGGGAAAGATGGAGGGCACAAGGAGAAGGGAAAGACAGAGGACGAGATGGTTGGATAGTGTTCTCAAAGCTACCAGCATGAGTTTGACCAAACTGCGGGAGGCAGTGGAAGACAGGAGGGCCTGGCGTGCTCTGGTCCATGGGGTCACGAAGAGTCGGACACGACTAAACGACTAAACTACAACAAAAGCCCCAGGATGAGCCCAGTCATCGAGTAAAACTCTGCTGGATGCTATTTTTGAAAACGTGGAAGTCTTTCAAAGGTTTCACTTGCAATTTCCCCTCTCAAAACATACTTTATGTAAACATCATTGCACAAAGAACCACTAGGGGGCACTGCATGCTCACTCACTAGGGCTAACCTGGGTTTACACTAGGATTATGATTCCAGAAAATGACAGAGAGGCAAAATGCCGATTGCTGTGTGTACATTGTTATTATTTGCAGCAGTATGGATTATGTATGTACGTGCATCCTTTAAACACCCGTGTACACGCAGGTGGAGGGTCCTTTACTGACAGTCCATTCACGTACGCATGCTGGCTCACACCATGTGTGTGCTGTTTGGGGGCTGCTGTATACTTACAAGCATAGTGAGGAGACGAGCGTTTGCAAAATGTGTACTGGAGACTCTGCAGGAAATGGTGTCAGAAGTGTCAGGGCTTGAATCTGTGACCTGGGAGAAGTCAGGTGGTTGTTTGTCTTGTGTGCCACCAACTGGCCAAAGGAGAGAACTACAGGCAAAAAGCCTCTTAACGGTGATAGGCCTGCAACAGGTTGTGTGAGCTTGGCCTCTTAACAACATTTCCAGCCCAGGTTCACTCATCAGCCCTAGCCAGCATGGTGAATGGTCAGGAATGATGGGGGCTGTAGTCTTGCAACTTCCAGAGAGCAATACATTCTCCACCCCTGATTTTAGGACTTGCAGAGCAAAATTAAAGTGGTTCTGGAGAAAGCAAACGACCCAATGATCTGAACCAAAGATTTTTGAATTTTATTGATATTGATGCTGCATTTTATGTTGCATTTTATGCTGTTTTATGCTGTTTTTAAGGGACGCGGGTGGCGCTGTGGGTTAAACCACAGCGCCTAGGGCTTGCCGATCAGAAGGTGGGCGGTTCGAATCCCCGCTACGGGGTGAGCTCCCATTGTTCGGTCCCTGCTCCTGCCAACCTAGCAGTTTGAATGCACGTCAAAGTGCAAGTAGATAAATAGGTACCGCTCCGGCGGGAAGGTAAATGGCATTTCCGTGCGCTGCTCTGGTTCGCCAGAAGCAGCTTAGTCATGCTGGCCACATGACCCGGAAGCTGTACGCCGGCTCCCTCAGCCACTAAAGCGAGATGAGCACCGCAACCCCAGAGTCAGCCATGACTGGACCTAATGGTCAGGGGTCCCTTTACCTTTTATGCTGTTTTTAAGTCGCATTTTAATCAATGTTTTATATTTGCTGTTAGCCACCCTGAGCCCGATTTTTAAACTGGGAAGGGTGGGGTAAAAATAAGTTGTTGTTGTTGTTATTATTATTATTATTATTATTATTATTATTATTAAAAGGCTTACATCCAGCATTTCCCAAGCTGCAGCCCTCCAGAGGCCGTTGGACTCCAATTCCCATTAGCCTCAGACAGTATGGCCAATGGCTAGGGAAGATGGGAGTTGTTGTCCAGTAGCATCTGGAGGGCCCAAGGTTCGAAACACATGCATATAAGACCTCTCTAAGGACTCAAAGGTTGTCCTATCTCTGCAAAACACAACACACACACACCTGTTTTAAAATATTTTTTAATGACTGAACTATATATACTTGCAAAAAAAAAAAAAAGCCATTTAGGTTCCTGTCTTGTGACCAGGCCTACAGAAAGGATTTGATCCTGTGAAAAAGAGGCATTAAAAGTCACATGTCGTTTGGCCCCCCAACCAATCCATTACAAAGCAACAGGTGGAGGTTGCAGCCGTTTCTGCAGGACCAAGGACAGCTCAGACATTGCTCCAGCAACAGCCAGCAAGCTTTAATTACCGTAATTTTTGCACCATAACACTCACTTTTTTCCTCCTAGAAAGTAAGGGGAAATGTCTGTGCATGTTATGGAGCGAATGCCTGCGGGTGGCGGGGGGGATCTGCTGCAGTCGTGAGCAGAGGATCCATGGTTCCCCTTCCTTTCCTCCTCCGTGGTTACAAAGCATGGATCCACATGGATCCTCAGGATTTTTGCATTGGGCTACTCCAAACTCACTGTCAGATCACAGGTCTGTGGCCACAGCATGAACCACAAAAATCATATATCCACTATTTCGTTTCGAATATTTTTTTTCTTGTTTTCCTCCTCTAAAAACTACGTGCGTGTTATGGTCTGGTGCGTGTTATAGAGCGAAAAATATGGTAATTAATCTAAGCTGGCATGGAGACATAGAATCAGAGCAGGAGGCACTGTGGTCTAAACCACAGAGCCTAGGGCTTGCCGATCAGAAGGTCGGCGGTTCGTATCCCCACGACGGGGTGAGCTCCCGTTGCTCGGTCCCTGCTCCTGCCAACCTAGCAGTTCGAAAGCACATCAAAGTGCAAGTAGATAAATAGGTACCGCTCCGGCGGGAAAGTAAACGGCGTTTCCGTGCGCTGCTCTGGTTCGCAAGAAGCAGCTTAGTCATGCTGGCCACATGACCCGGAAGCTGTACGCCGGCTCCCTCGGCCAGTAAAGCGAGATGAGCGCCGCAACCCCAGAGTCGGTCACGACTGGACCTAATGGTCAGGGATCCCTTTACCTTTACCTTTTAAGCTGGCCTGGAGGACATAGACTCATAGAATTGCACCAACCCCCAGCAATGCAGGAATCTTTTTGCCCAACAAGGGGCTTGAACCCATGACCTTGAGATTAAGAATATCCTGCTCTGTTGACTGAGCTATCACTGTATGTATCCCTGCCATGGGAAGCTGCTTAATACTGAATAAGACCAACAGCATCTCTAGCCCAGAACTGTCTACAGTGGCTGCAGCCGCAGTTCTCCAGGTTTTCAGGCAGCAAGTCTCCTCCAGCCTGACTTGGTGATGAAAAGGATGACACCTAGAGCCTTTTGTATGCAAAATGGACACTCTACCACTGAATGTGCTCCCTCTTCTGAAGCTTTGTTGTTGTTTTGTTGTTTAGTCATTTAGTCGTGTCCGCCTCTTCGTGACCCCATGGACCAGAGCATGCCAGGCCCTCCTGTCTTCCACTGCCTCCCGTAGTTTGGTCAGACTCATGCTGGTAGCTTCGAGAACACTGTCCAACCATCTCCTCCTCTGTCGTCCCCTTCTCCTTGTGCCCTCAATCTTTCCCAACATCAGGGTCTTTTCCAGGGAGTCTTCTCTTCTCATGAGATGGCCAAAGTATTGGAGCCTCAGCTTCAGGATCTTTCCTTCCGGTGAGCACTCAGGGCTGATTTCCTTCAGAATGGAGAGGTTTGATCTTCTTGCAGTCCATGGGACTCTCAAGAGTCTCCTCCAGCACCATAATTCAAAAGCATCAATTCTTCTGAAACTAGCATTAGCTTTAGGGGGGAAAAGACACATTTCATGTCATGTGCATTTTGGTCTGGAAATTCCATTGGGAGCAAAACACCCTGCAAACTGTGCTACCATGATCCTCTGCAGGGGTCAGAAATTGCATTGCAGTTTTGTAATGCCTGTATGTCTGGAGTTGTGCAAATGCTGCAATTTTGCAGGTTTCCTTTCAAACCCGCTCGTCTGCTTTAGAATTTCACTTCCCTTTAAGAGATACGAAAAAAGGTTTACAAATGGGTAAAAGCTTAATGGTAAGGATTTGCTGAACTAACAAACTGAACTGGAATACAAAAAAGGGAGGTATGAGGAGGTCCGGGGAAATAAGGGTAAAGAAGATATGCTATGGAAAGTTAACGTGTTTTTTAACTGTCTTTATCTTGTATGTTTTTCTTTATTTTTCTTTTCTTTTTTTTGCTATATTTTAAAAATTTTATTCTTTTTTCTGTATTTTGTATTTTCTTGTATTTTTATTTTTTGTTTTTGTATTCTTTGAAACTTTAATAAATATCATTTAAATAAAAAAAAATAGAATTTCACTTCCCTTCAGGGTGTGTTATAAAAAGGACAGCGAGTCCCTGGCAGGATCAGGGGGCAAATGTTTGGTTCGCTTCACATCTTAATGTCTGTCTACCTACTCGGCGCTTTCCAGAACAACAGGCAAAACTGAAATGCAAACCGAAATCTTTCGAAATGTGCACTTTTTGCAATGCAGTTTTCTGTGCATCTACAAAAATGCAGATATTGGCAGAAAACGTGCATTGAAAAAAAGCATAGACTTGTGAAAATGCATTCACAAAATGCGTTATGTTGGGGGTAATGGCTTGCAAAAATGGGTCTGTTGGGACAAATTTTCAGGACGTCTTTTAAAAAAACACACGGAAAGAGACAGAGAGAAATTGATGTGGAAATGTGGCAAACTGAATTTAAGATGGGAGAGATGAGAAATTGCTGGAAACTGAAATAAAGAGTGGTAGCACCAGTCCCTAACTCTGGGAGATACTGTATGGGATGCATAGGGAACATAGCTAGCTTGGACCAGCTCAAGGTCTTTGCTCAACACACCCAATAATTGTTGTTGTTGTTGTTGTTAATAATTAATTCATTAATTAATAATACCCTGCTCATCTGGCTAGGTTTCTCCAGCAACTCTGGTTGGCTCCAAGCAGAATATTAAAAACACGATAAAACATCAAACATTAAAAACTTCCTCAAACAGGGCTGCCTTCAGGTGTCTTCTAAAAGTCAGGTAGTTGTCTATTTCCTTGACATCTGATGGAAGGGCGCCACCACTGAGAAGGCCCTCTGCCTGGTTCCCTGTAATTTGGCTTCTCGCAGTGAGGGAACCGCCAGAAGGCCCTCGGAGCTGGACCTCAGTGTCCGGGCTGAACGATGGGGGTGGAGACGCTCCTTCAGGTATACTGGACCGAGGCCGTTTAGGGCTTTAAAGGTCAGCACCAACACTTTAAATTGTGCTTGGAAACCTACTGGGACACATACTTATTCACCAGCTCTGGCTGGCAGCAGCTCTCCAGGGTCTCCGGCAAGAGAAAGGTTTTTCCATCACCTGCTCCCGGATCCTTTGGCCTGAAGATGCCAAGGATTGGATCTTGGATCTTCTGCTTGCAAAGATAGGAGCTAGGAGCTTCCCCCTACCAGCTGTCAGGACAGCACAAAGATGGATACAGTGGTACCTCGGGTTAAGAACTTGATTTGTTCTGGAGGTCCGTTCTTAACCTGAATCTGTTCTTAACCTGAGGTGCCACTTTAGGTAATGGGGGCCTCCTGCTGCCGCAGCACGATTTCTGTTCTCATCTTGAAGCAAAGTTCTTAACCCAACGTAGTATTTCTGGGTTAGCGGAGTCTGTATCCTGAAGCGTCTGTAACTTGAAGCGTCTGTAACTGAGGTACCACTGTACACTAGGTTAAAAACACACCATCTCACAACCACACACACCCCTTTTCCACTGGTTTTTTAAGAAGCTGAAGGGTTAAAGTCATTTCTGGGATGTTGTCAATTATGTACCTCATGAGAATTATTTTACGCTTTCTGTTTTATGATATACAGTGGTACCTCTGGTTACGAACTTAATTCTTTCCGGACGTCCACTCTTAACCTGAAACCGTTCTTAACCTCAGGTACCACTTTAGCTAATGGGGCCTCCAGCCGCTACCACCACGCGATTTCTGTTCTCATCCTGAAGCAAAGTTCTTAACCCAAGGTACTACTTCCGGGTTAGCAGAGTCTGTAACCTGAAGCGTCTGTAACCAGAGGTACCCCTGTACTGGGAAGCTGCCTTACCCCCAGTCCGACTCTCAGTACAGTGGTACCTCAGGTTAAATACTTAATTCGTTCCGGGGGTCCGTACTTAACCTGAAACTGTTCTTAACCTGAAGCACCACTTTAGCTAATGGGGCCTCCTGCTGCCGCCACGCCGCCAGAGCACGATTTCTGTTCTCATCCTGAAGCAAAGTTCTTAACCCGAGGCACTATTTCTGGGTTAGCGGAGTCTGTAACCTGAAGCGTATGTAACCTGAAGCGTATGTAACCCGAGGTACCACTGTATATCAAGTTTCAGTTCTGTCCACACTGACTAACAGCAGCTTTCCAAGTCTTCAGAGTTCCCTTGCAACCTATACATGGGATGCCAGAGATTGAATTTTACATACAAAGCATGGCCTTTGCCCCTGTGCTAAAGCCCTTCCCTCGAGTGCTTGCTGGTGAAGCGTGCCCCAGTCAGCTGCCAAGGCTATGTGCAGAGGAGCAAAAGAGGAAAATGGGAAAGGGGGCAGGTTGCAGCCAGCAGTGAGAGCCAGCTATGTTGCATTTTAGCCAGAGAGCCAGCAGCTTCTAAGCGTGAACTACATATTACCCCTGTGTTGCATCAGCCAGGCCACAGATGGGAGGGGAGCTGTCAGTCGTAGGAGCATAGGAAGCTGCCTTTGAATGATAATAATAATAATAATAATTTATTATTTATACCCCACCCATCTGGCTGAGTTTCCCCAGCCACTCTGGGCGGCTCCCAATCAAGTGTTAAAAACATTACAGCGTTAAATATTAAAACTTCCCTGAATGTCAGGTAGTTGTTTATCTCTTTGACATCTGATGGGAGGGCTTTCCACAGGGCGGGTGCCACTACTGAGAAGGCCCTCTGTCTGGTTCCCTGTAGCCTCACTTCTCACAATGAGGGAACCACCAGAAGGCCCTTGGCGCTGGATCTCAGTATCTGGGCTGAACGATGGGGGTGGAGACGCTCCTTCAGGTATACTGGACTGAGGCTGTTTAGGGCTTTAAAGGTCAGCACCAACACTTTGAATCGTGCTCAGAAATGTACTGGGAGCCAATGCAGATCTCTCAGAACTGGTGTTATGTGGTCCCGGTGGCCACTCCGAGTCACCAGTCTAGCTGCCGCATTCTGGATTAATTGCAGTTTCCGGGTCACCTTCAAAGGTAGCCCCACATAGAGCGCATTGCAGTAGTCCAAGCGGGAGATAACCACAGCATGCACCACTCTGGCGAGACAGTCCGTGGGCAGGTAGGGTCTCAGCCTGCGTACCAGATGGAGCTGGTAGACAGCTGCCCTGGACACAGAATTAACCTCTGCCTCCATGGACAGCTGTGAGTCCAAAATGACTCCCAGGCTGCGCACCTGGTCCTTCAGGGGCACAGTTACCCCATTCAGGACCAGGGAATCCCCCACACCCACCCGCTTCCTGTCCCCCAAAAACAGTACTTTTATCTTGTCAGGATTCAACCCCAATCTATTAGCTGCCATCCATCCTCCAACCGCCTCCAGGCAATGAGCCATGCCACGGGGTCATTTAGCAGAGGCAGTACTGCGTACACTGGCTGGCAGGGACAATCTCCATGGTTTTCAGACACAGTTCTCTCCTAGCCCACCATGGAGATGGTGGGGATTAAGCCTGTGGCCTTCTACCTGCCAGAGCTGGATTAACCATTAAGGAAAATAAGCATGTGCTTAGGGCATCAAGGGAAGTGGGGGGCGGGTACCATGGAGATTTTCCATTGCCGGATTTTTCACATTAACGGTGACAAAATTGCTCAGCTGAACGTTCGTTTTCTCAGCTGAAATATGTTAAAAATCCTGACAGAACAACTACGCAACAAGGCGCAGGCTGGGTGCCTCATCTCTTCGGCTAAGTGTTGGAAGCAGATGTGTTACGTAAGATTCGTTTTGAGGATCTGATGAAAGACTTTGCAATTAGAAAAAGTAGCAGAATTTACTTTCAAATATAGATAAAGTGGAAGTGTACAAAAGTAAACATTGTTTTCCACCTTACTGTTGGTTTTGTTTCCTTTTTATTTTATTTTATTTTAATTTTACGGTTGATTCTTGTTTATATTTTGAATTAGATATACAGTGGTACCTCGGGTTAAGAACTTAATTCGTTCCGGAGGTCCATTCTTAACCTGAAACTGTTCTTAACCTGAGGTACCACTATAGCTAATGGGGCCTCCCGCTGTCGCCGCGCGATTTCTGTTCTCATCCTGAGGTAAAGTTCTTAACCCAAGGTACTATTTCTGGGTTAGCGGAGTCTGTAACCTGAAGCGTATGTAACCCGAGGTACCACTGTACATGAGGGCACCAAAATCTGCATGCGAAGCAGGTGTCCTGCAACAGACTTTATTTTTCTTCTCCTTTTCAAAGCTTCCTGACTTAGGAGGCGAGAGGAAGTGCAAAGCCTTCCTCTTTTCTTGAAACTTACCCACCCGCTTTTTCCGTGGGAGTGAAGGAAAGAGCAACACACTCAGAACCTCAAAAGAGGATCTTTCTCTTTTCTTGCTCGAGTGTCATTTGGGGCAGTTCTATGCTCAGAGTTTATTTATTTTTTCCCCTCCATTTGCACATTCAGTCATCCTTTGAAGCATAGTCCACCTATCTGCCAAAGCAACACACCCCTGTCTCTTCCCCCCCCCGAAGGAGCGTCTCCACCCCTATCGTTCTGCCCGGACACTGAGGTCCAGCACCGAGGGCCTTCTGGCGGTTCCCTCATTGCGAGAAGCAAAGCTACAGGGAACCAGGCAGAGGGCCTTCTGGGTAGTGGCGCCCGCCCTGTGGAACGCCCTCCCATCAGATGTCAAGGAAATAAACAACTACCTGACATTCAGAAGACATCTTAAGGCAGCCCTGTTCAGGGAAGTTTTTAATGTGTGACATTTTAGTGTATTTTTGGTCTCTGTGGAAGCTGCCCAGAGTGGCTGGGGAAACCCAGCCAGATGGGCGGGGTACAAATAATAAATTATTATTATTATTATTATTATTATTATTATTATTATTATTATAAATGTCACCTCTCTATATACATCTGAAGTTGGAGGGCATGAGATTAGGGTAGCCTAGCACATAAATAGGAACGTGGGTGGTGGTCTAAAACCACTGAGCCTCTTGGGCTTGCCAATCAGAAGATTGGCGATTCAAATCCCCGTGACGGGGTGAGCTCCTGTTGCTCGGTCCCTGCTCCTGCCAACCTAGCAGTTCGAAAGCACGTCAAAAAGTGCAAGTAGATAAATAGGTACCTCTCAGGTGGGAAGGTAAACGGCATTTCCGTGCGCTGCTCTGGTTCACCAGAAGCGGCTTAGTCATGCTGGCCACATGACCCGGAAAAACTGTCTGCGGACAAACGCCATCTCCCATGGCCTGTAAAGCGAGATGAGTGCTGCAACCCCAGAGTCGTTTGCGACTGGACTTAACTGTCAGGGGTCTTTTACTTTACCCATTTTTAGCACATAAATGCCCCTTGCACTGGTGCAATGCTCCATTCCATTCCTCCAGCAACCAGACAGTGAATGTCACTGAATGAGTTTGACTTGAAGACGTCCTACAGCACTTCAGCCACATTTGTTGTAAGATTATTTGAAAAATAAAAATAAAACGAGGAGACCTCCACTGTAAGTTTTACTGGTGCACCTTGCTTTGAGGGGAAGCGAAAGAAAGACTATTGTAGACTCAATGAAGATAGTGTACAGTAGGAAAATAACAGCTTTGTGTAATGAGAGAGGGCAGGGTGAAAACACAGATGCTGGCAATATACAAGAAAGAGTCTCCCTGTTTTCAGCTCTGACATGCTGGGAAGTCTGGTGACATGTCACAGCGCAGATATGGAACCTGCTTTCTGTCACAGAATTGGTTTTCTTCTAGGCTAGTCCTCATGATATATATATTCACATATATTCACGTTTGGTCACTTTTGCACCCCACCTATTGTTCCATACATGGGGGTCCAGCCTGAGAGGTAGGTCAGCCTAAGATGAATGGCTTATCTGAAGCCCAACCCATTGGAGATTTGAACCCAGGTCTCCAAATCCATGACAGCGTGTCAGCGGCTGTAGAGATGAGCTTGGGCAGGCATAGGCAAACTCCGGCCCTCCAGACGTTTGGGACTACAATTCCCATCATCCCTAGCTAACAGGACCAGTGGTCGGGGATGATGGGGATTGTAGGAAGGCCGGAGTTTGCCTATGCCTGCATCCCCTTTGCGAAAATGGAATCCAAATTGTTTGCAGATGCGAAAAGGGGGGAGCAAAATAAATTAGGCACACCCCTTCCCCACAAGATCTATGCAAAGATATTCAGCCTGCATCAAACAGTCCAATGGCAGAATGTTCCAGCTTCTCTGGGGCCAGAATCCGAGCACAACAGATACACAGTCCACATCGAGCACAGAACCTTCTTCCCCTCGCTGACTCTCCCATTCCAGTCCAACGAAAGTTCAGTCCTGTTCCATGAACGACTGGTCCCCACTCACCGCGCCATCCGCCCCGTCCTCTTTGTTTGGCTCAGGCCTGCAGCGGCTTCCCTGATCGGCCGTTTCCTTTAGCTCTGCCACTGTAGCATAGTCGTTGTTGAGAGATGCCAAAGGGGCTGGGCAGGTCCCCCCATCACACTGCCCTCTATTGCAATCGGGGAGGTTCTGCAATTCAGCGTAATGCAAGCTAGCTTCATCCGGATTGCCAGCCACACCCTAGTGATAGGGAAGGATACAGCAAGAGGTCACATCGGTTAGTACCAAAAGATGAGAAGAGCGGGCTGGTTAATTCAAACCGGAACGTGAAATTCAGCCCCACCACCACCACCATACCACCTCCTCCATCCTTGTTGACCCTTGGGAGTTCCCTGGGCAGAGTGCTTGGATGATGGCAGAAGCCACCATTGGCAGAATTCACCTGTCAGGGAGGGTCTCAAGCCCATCTCTCCTTATCTCCGCCTGTGAGGGCTATGTTTCCCTCACCTGACCTCACAATAAAGGTAAAGGGACCCCTGACCATTAGGTCCCGTTGTGACCGACTCTGGGGTTGCGCGCTCATCTCGCTCTATAGGCCGAGGGAGCCGGCGTTTGTTCGCAGACAGCTTCTGGGTCATGTGGCCAGCATGACTAAGCCGCTTCTGGCGAACCAGAGCAGCACACGGAAACGCCGTTTACCTTCCCGCTGGAGCGGTACCTATTTATCTACTTGCACTTCGTGCTTTCAAACTGCTAGGTTGGCAGGAGCAGGGACCGAACAATGGGAGCTCACCCCGTTGAGAGGATTCAAACCGCTGACCTTCTGATCGGCAAGTCCTAGGCTCTGTGGTTTAACCCACAGCGCCACCCGCGTCCCTGACCTCACAATAGGCATGGATTTAGTTCAGTTTTGGTTCTCTCAGTTTCCTATTTTTCCAATCAGTTCTCCACATTCCTGAAGCAGTTAGTTAGTTAGTTAGTTAGTTAGTTAGTTAGTTAGTTTTACAAAAAGATCGCAATGAAAATTATTCAGCATTTTAGTGTGAATTTCTCTGAACGGGCACATTTTTTGTATGCAGCTTTGAGCGATGTACACTTTTTTTGCAAGCAATTCATCCTAATATAATACATTTTTGCATGTTCCTTTCACCACTCATTTCTATGCACACTTTTACTTTAAATACGGTAGATGCATATTTTTTTTGTAAATATTGTTTGATTGCAGAACTGCATCCTGGGAGTAAGCCCTATGGAACTCAACAGGACTGACTCTGCCTAGACCTGGGGCTCAGCTAGACTGGTAAAGAAAAAGCGATTTATGCGCGTTGTATATGAGATATAACATTGTGCCACCAGACGGTGATGCAGAGTCCCATTTTTCTCTACCTGTTTTCCCTGTTTTGCAATGCTTTAAACTGGAGCGCTTCCCTGATGGGTCTAGATCCAGCCCTGGTTCGTACTGTGTTGTGCAATTGTGTGCACCCAGAAGGAACCCCCACTGAGTTCAACGGAACTTATTCATAGGTAAGTGGGGTTAAGGTTGCAGCCTTAGTCCCTTGACTGGAATAAAAATACTGTATCTGTATTTGGGCCTTTGCTGTATCAGTTGATTTCCTCTCTACCCACCCACTTTCTGCAGCAAGTACAAATTTAGCCCTATCACCTCCACCACCACAATTCTGGTCACAGTTCAGCGGAATTCAGTTTCATCCCACTGCTCAAATTTTATGCAAATCTGAGTCCTTTTTTGGGTTGCGTACTTCTTCTGCATTTTTTTTAATCCAGCCTCCACTGAGGAGCTAAACTTGTTTCTCTGGACTGTACCAGACTTTAGATGTGCCCTCATAGGCTTGAATTATTCTGGACAAAAAAAACCCCACCTCTCCACATAGAAAAATAGAAGACAAGAAGAGGGTTTTCAGCTTGGCCTCCCTCTTGATACATCAGTTTTCTACGTGTATAAAGATTTTCCCTCCCCTCTCCCTATTTAGTCATGTGAGCCCTTGTCCACAGTCCAAAGTGGTACAGTCTCAAGAAGACACTGGCTGGTCATCACTAGGGACGTATGTAGCCATTTTTTCCCCCCATTCCTCCTTGGATTTCTCACATGCAGTGCTGTTTCTGTTCCGCTGCAGTTCATCTCCCACCAAAAATGACATAAGCCATATTGCAGGACGTCCTAATTTCACGCGCACAATTTCAAACATATGTGCTTAAAGGCAGGCTGGTTGAAATTGCGCAAGTCTAGTCCCACGCAAGGTGGAGTGCTCTTTTTGTACCAGGTCCACTTGGGGGCAAGGTCCACTTAGCACACCAGTTCTGGAATGCTCCCTGAGATCACACGGGAGAATCTAAGATCCCGCGAGATCTCACGTGAACATCCCTAGCCTTCCATTTCCATGGCAGCAAGTGGGCCCAGTGAGGCCCACTTGGCATGCCAGTTTTGGTAATCCTGGGGTGTTCCCTCCCCCTCTCACCCACTAGCCACAGGGTACCGCCAAAGGTTTGACTACATGCTTAACCCTCAGAACTGAACCCCTGCCTAAGATGAGGGAATACTGTACATCATTAGCATTACATTACGTTGTCATTAGGTTATTCCAATGAAAAGGAAATGCAATACAGATTGGGGGGTGGGGTGGTTAGGACATAATTAAGTGTCATTTATGGGCTGAAAGCAGCCACAACAACATACAGGTAAAAAAGGTAAAGGACCCCTGAATGGTTAAATCCAGTCAAAGGCGACTATGGGGTTGCAGCGCTCATCTCGCTTTCAGGGTGAGGGAGCCAGAGTTTGTCCACAGACAGCTTTCTAGGTTGTGTGGCCAGCATGACTAAACCGCTTCTGGCGCAACAGGACACTGTGACGGAAACCAGAGCACACGGAAATGCCGTTTACCTTCCCGCCGCAGCGGTACCTATTTATCTACTTGCGCTGGCGTGCTTTCGAACTGCTAGGTTGGCAGGAGCTGGGACCGAGCAAGGGGAGCTCACCCCGTCACGGGGATTCGAACCGCCGACCTTCTGATCGGCAAGCCCAAGAAGCTCAGTGGTTTAGGCCACAGCGCCACCCACGTCCCTACAACAACATATACACTGGGTTGGTTTCCAGTTTCTGGACATGAAGCAAACCAGTGAACATTGGCAATTTCCACTCCAACATCCCTAGACACTACACCGAGCTCAGGCCAGTGTGCAGCTCATGGGACGAGCACTGTTTTTAAGACAAGCCGTTCCAAAAGCACAATGATCAGCTCTAACACCTTGAATTTATCTCAGGGACGACCTTCTGGTATTGATAGAATTTAGAGTCTAGAGATGCTCCCTAAGAACTATGAAGGTTGGTAATGTGAGGACTTGCCCGAGAGCCACAGGGCCCAGGCAGTTCCAGAGGCCTAGGGCAGGGATAGCCAATGTGGTGATGTGTTGGGCAGGCTGGCTTAGGATGATGGGGCTGGGAGCCCACGACATCTGCAGGACTCCACAGAGGTTGTTGCGCAAGTTTGCCTTAGAAGCTCCGGAGAATAAAATTCCTTTGAGCCGTTCCCCATCCCTCCAGTTCGTCTGTGGATCCTGAATCTACATGCTGCAAATGTGTACAGTTCTTCCTCACCCAACCTCCTCTGCCCGCTTGGTGATTATCTCTAAATCACACCATACTTACTTCTACAGGTTTCCGCTTCTTTCCTGCGAAGGAAAACAAAAACACTTGTTATACCCGAAGGAGCGTCTCCACCCCCATCGTTCTGCCCGGACACTGAGGTCCAGCGCCAAGGGCCTTTCCCTCACTGCGAGAAGCCAAGTTACAGGGAACCAGGCAGAGGGCCTTCTCGGTAGTGGCACCCGCCCTGTGGAACGTCCTCCTACCAGATGTCAAAGAGAAAAACAACTACCAGACTTTTAGAAGACATCTGAAGGCAGCCCTGTTTAGGAAAGCTTTTAATGTTTAATAGATTATTGTATTTTAATATTCTGTTGAAAGCCGCCCAGTGTGGCTGGGGAAACCCAGCCAGATGGGCAGGGTATAAATTATTATTACATTTCCGAGCACAATTCAAAGTCTTGGTGTTGACCTTTAAAGCCCTAAACGGCCTCGGCCCAGTATACCTGAAGGAGCTTCTCCACCCCCATCGTTCTGCCCGGGCACTGAGTTCCAACGCCGAGGGCCTTCTGGCGGTTCCCTCATTACGAGAAGCCAAGTTACAGGGAACCAGGCAGAGGGCCTTCTCAGTAGTGGCACCCGCCCTGTGGAACGCCCTCCCAACAGATGTCAAAGAGAAAAACAACTACCAGACTTTTAGAAGACATCTGAAGGCAGCCCTGTTTAGGAGGGAAGTTTTTAATGTTTAACAGATTATTGTATTTTAATATTCTGTTGAAAGCCGCCCAGTGTGGCTGGGGAAACCCAGCCAGATGGGCAGGGTGTAAATTATTATTATTATTATTATTATTATTATTATTATTAGGACAAAAATTGTGAATTAAAGGTATGTTTGCTTTCATTTTATATTCTTCTTTCCTCAGGTTGTGCTTTATTTTTTTACAGCAAGCAGCAGCCCAGGAAGCTGCCTTAATAACCAAAACTCAGCCACTACATTCTCCATAATCATCACACATCCACAGGCTTGGGAAAAACCCCAAGGTTTGCAGAAGTACAAAAATACTTTACACGCAGGCACGCAAAGCTCGCATAGGGTAACCACCTATTTTTCCAGGCAATGTCACTGGGAGGAGCAACACTGTCAGGACATTCTGTTGCTCCCAAGGCAATTTACAGTCCCTGCTTCTTAAAATGTGGTTGCGTTGGGTCCCGGTAGCAGCCAAACTTTGTAGCTGCTCGCACGGTGATTTTCTGTGTAAAGTATTTGGCGAAGTGAAATATCTGATTTATAGGTCCCTCCAGAATATGTCTTTGGATTTGTTTGTTTTCCCCCAAGAGCTTTTGACAATACAGTGGTACCTCGGGTTAAGTACTTAATTCGTTCTGGAGGTCCATACTTAACCTGAAACTGTTCTTAACCTGAAGCACCACTTTAGCTAATGGGGCCTCCTGCTGCTGCCGCGCCGCCAGAGCACGATTTCTGTTCTCATCCTGAATCAAAGTTCTTAACCTGAAGCACTATTTCTGGGTTAGCGGAGTCTGTAACCTGAAGTGTATGTAACCTGAAGTGTATGTAACCTGAGGTACCACTGTATATCACTGATGCAATATATGTATGTGAGTGGTAGATGTACACTGGGTCATCCACATATCATTTTGGTATATTTGGTGCCTTATTGCCATCTAGAGAGGTGCTTTTACCCTACATCTTCCCATAATGGTTGGCTGGTGGTCTCTGATTTTAAAGGTTTGTGCATTTTTGTTATAATTTTATATAGCTGTAAATTGCTTTGGGGTTGTTGTTTTTTTAAAAAGTATAGTAGGATATAAATATTTTTTAAGGAATAAAAACAACAGTAACCCAGAACACTTGTGGTGTGGAAAGCCAACAGGATTTCAGTAGGAAGTGGCAAGACATGCACTGATTGTGGAAACAACGCAGTCTGCCATCCCACAAACACCTGCAAGTGCTTTTAGATGTGTTGGAAGCCGCCAAGAGTGGCTGGGGAAACCCAGGCGGATGTGAGGGGTATAAATAATAAAATAATCACTAAAATTATTGTTGAAAGCGGGATTTCGTATTCTAGCAGGGGGTTTAATTTTGGTTGAGTTATTTCCCTGTCCATATCTGTACAGTGGTACCTCGGGTTACAAACGCTTCAGGTTACATACGCTTCAGGTTACAGACTCTGCTAACCCAGAAATAGTACCTCGGGTTAAGAAATTTACCTCAGGGTGAGAACAGAAATCACGCAGTGGCAGCAGTGGGAGGCCCCATTAGCTAAAGTGGTGCTTCAGGTTAAGAACGGTTTCAGGTTAAGAACGGTTTCAGGTTAAGAACGGACCTCCAGAACAAATTAAGTTCCTAACCCGAGGTACCACTGTACTGGAGATGTTTTGAATCTGTCATGGATGTTTTGTTGAGATTTCTGCATCGAAGCAGGTTGAACTAGATGATCCTCAGGGTCCTTTTGAACTCTACAATTCTATAATTTTAAAGCTTTTAATAAATTGCTTCATCACTTTTTCTTTGCTTGCCTGCGATCCTTGATAATAAATACGATAAATAACATACCCTCCAACATTTCTCCATTGAAAATAGGGACATCCTATTCCATAACAACAAGAAGAAGAAGTAGTTTATGATTTATGCCCCACCCCATTTGACTGGGTTGCCCAAGCCACTCTGGGCGGCTTCCAACAAACAAAAACATAATAAAACATTTCCCTATACAGGGCTATCTTCAGATGTCTTCTAAAGGTTGCCTAGTTACTTATCTCCTTGGCTCAGGGGTCAGATAACTCCATACCCTCCAACTTTTCTCCATTGAAAATAGGAACGTCCTAAGGAGAAGCAGCACATTCCGAGATCAAATCAGAAACTAGGACAGCTTCTGTAAATCCAGGAATGTTCCTAGAAAATAGGGACACTTGGAGGATATGAAATAATAAATACACAAAACAAAGGATGTCTGAAAGGTGCCCTGTATCTGCGTTCTGGTCCTCACGCTAGACCAGGAGACGTAGTTTGTATGGACATAGGAGGCAGCTTTATGCTGAGTCAGATCCTTGATGTACTCAGCTGCATATTGTCTACACTGACTGGCAGCCTCTCTCCAGGGTGTCAGGCAGGAAGCCTTGCGCAGGGAGATGCCAGGAATTGAATTCAGGATGTGATAGGAATTTTATGGCCTTAGATATATGGTAATGTTCATAAGTGTACCAACCAAGCACATACATAGATCAGCACAGGAAGGCCAACCTGGAACCATTTTGATTCCTAAACTGAGCAAATGTTTTCTCTGCAAGGTCAAACTGGAAAAGCCTCCCTATTGTCTTTTCCTTCACAAATCCTGTCTTAAGGGTATGTCTGTGTTTGAATAGGGTGTGAGCCTGTGACCTGGCCCAGGAACTAAGTATTTATCATTACAAAAGACTGGCCAGGCTCTCCAGGCAATCCAATCAAGTAGCCTGCCAGACAGGAGATAAACAAGGACAGGAGAAAAACAACATTTAAATTTCTGTTTTAGACTGCCTTTTCTGTGATGTAGGTGTGATGTATCTGAGGGGTGGTCTTAGGTTACACCCCTTCTGTGATGTATGTATGATGTTTCTGGGGGTGGCAATTTCAAAAGTCTTTAAAAGGCCTTGCGCGCCTTTTTCTGGGTCCCTCCTCTCTCCTGCGGGTGAGGGGAGCACCCTGTTGCAACAGATCAATAAAGGCCAAGCCTACAGGCTGCTGTTTCGCTCCAAGTAATCCTGGTTGGTGTCTTTGTTTTTGTCCAAGGGAGCCCTCGGATTTTTCCGTTAACAGGGACCTTCTGCATATGCGACCACAGAAGTCTGTCCTTCCCCCCCGCCCCCCCCGAGATCAGGTCTCTCCGAAACACAGAGCCAATAAACATATTGAGGTTTCCTAACTGTTGGGGACCGGGACTGATTTGAGGAAAGTATTCTCAACTTTAGAACAATTCCCCACTTCCCTACTCATTTCAGGAACAGAGGTTTAGGACTTTGCAGGCTCTCCAGCAAGGACCAACCTCTCAGCTAAAAAGGTTTTGATTTTTAAAAAGGACGTCCTTTGTTTCAGGAAGTTTTTCTCTCCTGCTTTAGAGGCTGTTCCCAGATATTTCGCAACGAGATCGTTACCTCTTTTGCAGACACGGCAGAGGCAGATGGAAAGGATCACGATAACCAACAGCATCAGGAGAATGGCCGCTCCTCCTCCGAAGAGCAGCCACTTTGTGATTTGGCAGCGATCTGCGTAATTGGGAAGATGTGACGCCGTCAGTGCCAGGGAGCCCAGTCCCCCTCTTGCCCCCCGTTCCTCTTGCCTATGATCCCACTCCTCGCCTTGGAACCAAAACTAGCTGTAGTTCGTGTCACCCCTCCTGAGGACGTAGGCCTGAGGGGGCTGGAGCAAGACCTTTTCCACCCAGCGCCCATTCCAGAGGGTGGCATGTCTGGGCATTTGCCAGGCCCCACCAGCACTTCCACTTCCCACAGAGTATCTGGTGAACAGATGCTGCCTAAGAAAATTCTTTCAGCCAGAGAGAGAGAGGAGGCAGCGCCAGCGTGTTCCAGAGTGGGGGTTTTGGTGTTGTTTTGTGTGTGTGTGTGTGTGTGTGTGTGTGTGTACACACACACACCATAGCTGTCAACTTTTCCCTTTTCTTGTGAGGAATCCTATTTGGAATAAGGGAATTTCCCTTAAAAAAGGGGAAACGTTGACAGCTATCACACACACACACAGTGGACGCCTGGGTTGTGAACGTGATCTGTGCGGAATGCACGTTAGCAACCCGCAGCGTTCGCAACCCGCAGCTGCATGTTTGCGCATGCACGGGTTGCGATTTGGCACTTCTGCACATGCGCAAAGCGCAATTTAGCGCTTCTGCACATGCGCGACCGCTGAAACCCAGAAGTAACCAATTCCGGTACTTCCGGGTTTCGGCACAGCCGTAACCCGAAAAAACGCAACCTGAAGCGTCTGTAACCCGAGGTATGACTCTGTGTGTGTGTGTGTGTGTGTGTATATGGTATATACACACACACACAGTGGTACCTGTGCTTCAGGTTACATACACTTCAGGTTACAGACTCTGCTAACCCAGAAATAGTACCTTGGGTTAAGAACTTTGCTTCAGGATGAGAACAGAAATCGTGCTCCGACAGCGCGGCAGCAGCAGGAGGCCCCATTAGCTAAAGTGGTGCTTCAGGTTAAGAACAGTTTCAGGTTAAGAACAGACCTCCGGAACGAATTAAGTACTTAACCCGATACCACTGTGTGTGTGTGTGTGTGTGTGTGTGTACACACACACACACACGAGTGGAACCTCAGTTTTCGAACGTAATCTGTTCCAGAAGACTGTTCAACTTTCGAAACGTTCAAAATCCATTGAAAAAATGGAAAAACACACAGTGGAAGCCATTTAACTTCCTAGGCACATTCGAAAACGCAAGCAATTACTTCCGGAAGATTTACGGCATTCGGCTTCCAAATTGTTCGGCTTCCGAGATGCTCAAAAAACCAAGGCTCCGCTGTATTCGAGTTAGGACATTTTTAAATTCAGCTTTCGTGAAATGACAGTTATTTGCTATTAAAATGCACGATTCATCATGACGCTCTTTCATCTAAGTAAATGTGTGTTTGAATATTTAAAGGGAAGATTTAAAACGTGCCCTTTCACATGCCCTTTTGAGTTTCTTGAGGAAAAATGCTTTTTGAAAAGTTCTGCCGCCTATCCCAAGCTCCTGTTGGATTAGCTCACACAAATTACCTGATTTCTTTTTTCAAAGCATCCGCAACACACACAAAAGAACACAGCAGAATAAATCAAGACGTTTGCCTGAGCCAATCTAAGGACTTGAGAAAATTACCTGCTCGTCTCAGCTGCCCTACCTCATCGTCAAAAGCTGCCACCCAAAAACATACTCTCCTCATTTTCCATACCTTGGTGACATAGGTGCCAACTCCCCGGGGACCTGGGTGCCTGGGAAGCCACAAAATTCTCCATGAAGGGGCCAGGCACCCACAAATTTCGGTGCCGGTGCCTTGCACACTGCATGGCACTCACAGCCCAAACACCCACAGTTGTGGGGCCAAACAGGCACTCCTGCTGGTGATGAGAGCAGAGGTGAAGGGGTCCAAGCAGAGGAGGAGAATGAGTTTTGGGGTGTCTTCTCTCGCCTCTGTGGCTCTGACGTTCTGGGTAACAGCACATCCCAGCTCAGGGGTCCATGGGAGGTGCAGTTTCCACAGCCCCTGGGAGAACTACATTTCCTATGGCACCACCAACCCCACACTGAGGCACAAAGCTGGAAACAGTAGATTGTTAAAAGCCGCCAGGAATTGTAGGCCGGCAGATAGTAAACTACACTTGCCAAGATTCTTCGGGGGAAAGCCATGTGTTCTAAATGGGCATTAACGATACAATACGATATCTTTATTGTCATTGTCCCATAGAGAACAATGAAATTGAAAAATCTACGTAAGACATTCAAAACCCCCTAAAAACTCTGAAACCCCATTTTAAAATACAATATACTAGAGACTCCTTATGCTGCTTTTAGAACCAGAATTGCATTTGGCTAGAAACTGTTTCTCAGGCGGCTAGTCCTAATCTTAATAACCCTGTACCTTCTTCCAGAAGGCAGAAGCTGAAAGAGATCATTTCCGGGGTGCGTACTATCCTGCGCTATCTCTGCAGCTTTCTTATGGCACCTGGAAGCGTAGATTTGATCCAAGGTGGGAAGAGTGCACCCAGTTATTCTCTCTGCAGTCTTTACAACCCTGGACAGCATTGTTTTTTCCCTGGCCGTGCAGCTCCCAAACCACACACACAGACCATAAGTTAATACATTCTCCACAGTACAATGGTAAAATGCCATTAGCAGGTCCTTTGCGAGATTGTTTTTCCGGAGGATTCTCAGAAAATATAACCTCTGCTGTGCTCTCTTCATCAGGTCTTTGCTGTTTTCTCCCCAGGTTAGGTCATCTCTGAACTCCATTCCCAGAAATCGAAACCCCTTCCCCACCTCTGCCCCTGCCTCTTGAGGAAGCTGCCTCAGTCTACCCAATGGCAGGGCTGGTCCTGATTCCAACCTGTGGATGAGAACAGTTGACACCAAGGACTGAAATTCACCTACCGTCTCCTTCACAATGCAAAACAAGCATTGCCAGAGTAAGAAATGAGGTGTTCTAGAACGAAACAAAAGAGACAAGTCAAAGGCATGGGATTATTATTATTATTATTATTATTATTGGTAGTAGGGGGCAGGCTGTCTCAGAAAACATTTTCTGCCATTATTGATCTATAATTTAGGAACTTGAGAGTCCCATGGACTGCAAGAAGATCAAACCTATCCATTCTGAAGGAAATCAGCCCTGAGTGCTCACCGGAAGGACAGAGGCCCCAATACTTTGGCCACCTCATGAGAAGAGAAGACTCCCTGGAAAAGACCCTGGTGTTGGGAAAGATGGAGGGCAGAAGGAGAAGGGGACGGCAGAGGACGAGATGGTTGGACAGTGTTTTCGAAGCTACCAGCATGAGTTTGACCAAACTGCGGGAGGCAGTGGATGACAGGAGTGCCTGGCGTGCTTTGGTCCATGGGGCCACGAAGAGTTGGACATGACTAAACGACTAAACAACAACAAATTAAGGAACAACAGGGTTTCTCACAGGCAGATAAAAAGAGCACTTCAAATGTTCAAACTGCTTCATGTACAAATTCTCAGCAAACCCTCACAACTGCCGTGGAAGGCAAGTCAGTAACATAATCATCTCTATACTGGAGATTGAGGGGTGGATGAAGCTGAGGGAACAATGACTCGTCTGACAGTCACCAAGCGTGTCTGAGATAATTTTGTACCTAGAAACGCAGCTCGCATGATTAACTGCTGCACTACATTGCTGAAAAATTTACATGGGATGTTTTTTAACCACCACAACAACTCCAAGGTATGCGTCCAATTTGCACAATGCATGCTCAGCTATCACAGCTGCCACAGAACTGTAGAGTTGGAAGGGGCCGCGAGGGTCATCTAGTCCAACCCCCTCAATGCAGGAATCTTTTGCCCAACGTGGGATTCAAACCCACAACCCTGAGATGAAGAGTCTCGTGCTCTGCCAGCTGTATACAGCAGCTACACAGCAAATGCAAGTGGTGAGCGCCACCAGAATTGCAGACAAGAACCCCAAGGCTTGCAGAAGTACAAAATAAATAAAATAAAATAAAATAAAATAAAATAAAATAAAATAAAATAACTGTTGAGCTCATACAGCTCAGTCGCTCCACCGCTCCAGCCCTCTGAACTTTGTAGGTGACTGAAGCCTCAGACATTTCACAGGAAGACTCACTGAAATCTCTCCCTGCCCCTAATATCAGTGTCTCTCTTCATTCACCCATTCCTTTGCGCTTTCCCAAATCCTCTGCCCTTCCCACCACCCTCTCACAGATCCAGGCCCTAAGCGGCTCACAGGTTCCATTTAATCCCCTCTTACCTTCTCCCACTTATTCAATTTGGTCCCAAGGGCTTTGGGGCGTCTTCAACATCCCAAGCGCTCAGGCATCCGTCCTCGGTCGTCTGTCTTCGCTTTCGATCTGACACCTTCTTGTGACAGATGTCACGAAGCAGCGAGCTGCAACTTCTGCTTCCACCAGGAAACAGGGACCCGGCACGCAAAACCAGAACTTACAGAGCAGATGTTTCCATTCGACCACTGGGGCAGAAGAAGCAGAGCTCAGAAGGCGCTTGCTACGGAGGACAACGGGCTCCGCTCCCACAAGAGAGACGTCTCAAGATTGCTATCTGAGCTGTTAAAAACACAGGCTGCGTGTTCTCAGGTTGAACTTAGCCAATCCAAGACAAAAACTGGGTTAACAAACCCAGTTTGAACGACAGTCGTCAGAAAAGCAATGGAATGGAATGATCAAGGCGGCCTGACGACTTTCCCCCCAGGGTGCATTGAAATGGTTGGTTTTGGGGGCTTTTTTTAATATATAATTTTTATTAAATTTTCTAATTTACATTTCAAAATGTTCATTTAAACAACCTTAAATCAATGACTCCCCTTCTTCTCTTTCATTTTGCATACCATACATCCCTGAACATTTTACATGAACTCAACCATTCAGTAATCCATTGTTACATCCGTCAAAACTTATTTACACCGTTGAATTTATCTTAGTGCTACCAGCGTTTTTAAATGAACACAATTTTCACCCATATATTCAGGAAACATTTCCCAGTCTTCTTTAAACGTATGTTCTTCTTGTTCTCTTATTCTATATGTTAAATCTGCAAGCTGCACGTATTCCATCAGCTTAAGTTGTCATCATCTTTAGATGGGACCTCGCTCGTTTTCTGTTTGGGGGCTAACAAAACACAAGCCGCAGTAGTAGCATACATAGTCTTTTTTGACACCTGGGAATTTCCATCTGAATTGTCCTCAACAAAAAGGACTCTGGTTTTTTTGGTAAGGTACTTTTAAACATTTTTTTTCAATTCATTATATATCATTTCCCAATACTCTTTTACCTTTTTACAAGTCTTCCACATATGATAAAACGTACCCTCAACCTCATTACATCTCCAGCATTTATCTGATTCGGACTTACACGTTTTAGCAAGTCTACTCAGAGTTAAATACCATCTATAAATCATTTTCAGGTAGTTCTCCTTCAAAGAATAGCATGCTGTGAACTTCAGATCACTCTTCCGAAGCTTTTCCCAGAGATTCAAAACTATATTAAATGGGTGTTTGTTATGAGATGGGTGCTCCTTACGCAAGCACGTTTTTCACAGCAGCCACACAATGTAGGGCTTGTCCACACTTCTGCTTATCCAAGCAGTTTCCCCTCTGCACTGCTCAGGGGAAGGAAAAGCACCCTCTCTTTAGTGCTAAATCGGAGCAAACATCCATCAGGAGAGAACCCGAATTGCCGTTTGCTCCGACTGAGCGCCAAAAAGTGGTTTTTCCCCAGAGGAAATCAGCGCAACAAGAGGAATAGCGGATAAACCCATAGCCAGCCAAAAGCCAGCCCACAGCCCCACACCTCATCCACTTTAATTGGGATTTAACCTTTCCTGGGGAGGCGGGGGGAATCCCGTTGCTAACAATCTGCTTACAATATTGAGCCACCTTTTGGGAGCACAAATGCACATATTTAGACACAATGTCGGTTCACACATTCATACCCACCACGTGTTTGGTCCGTATTCATCACTCACAGGGCTGTTACACAGCGGCACACCTGGATTTGCCAGCAACTCCACATGTGATGTGCATGCCAATCCCAGCTCCCTGTACATGTCTGTCAATCATTCCCCTTTATAGCAGTATGGTGGTACCTCGGGTTAAGAACTTAATTCGTTCTGGAGGTCCGATCTTAACCTGAAACTGTTCTTAACCTGAAGCACCACTTTAGCTAATGGGGCCTCTCGCTGCCACCGCCACACAATTTCTGTTCCCATCCTGAGGTAAAGTTCTTAACCTGAGGTACTATTTCTGGGTTAGTGGAGTCTGTAACGTCCATAACCTGAAGCATCTGTAACCCGAGGTACCACTGTATTCTTTAAAAAGCAGTGGACAAAGAGCCCTTGGATGCATGTAGCTGATGGGAGCTGCCCAAATGGTGTTTATTTTTGTGACAGAGCCTTTCTGGGTGGTGGCTCTCTGTTTTTGGAATGCCCTCTCCGATGACGTGTGTCTGTCCATTGTTCTTCACTTTCATGAGGAACTTTTAAAAAAACACATATTGCTGTTCAGCTAGGCACTTGATAGCTCAAAGACCAGCAGCCCTGTACGTTAAGTCACTATTACTATCCCCATATCACAGGTGGGAGGACTGAGGCTGAGACTAAGTGGCTAGCCCAAGGCCACAGCCGGGATTCAGGGCACAGCAACATTCAAACCTTCTTTATAGCCCAATCTATTAAGCCACTATACAACACTAGCTCTCTCTGATGATTTTTTCACATTCGTAAGCTACCACGTGATGCGGCAGCCATCAAGTGACAAGCCACTGAGTGATAAATGGGTGGTGTGGCATGGTCACATTCTTTTTTCCTCCCTTCATTTTTTTAAAAAAAATATTTATTTATTATTAATGTTGCAATACATATATGAAATCTTTACATAATGATACATATACATTATATTTGTAAATTCGCATTTTCACATTTCATTATGTACCAACATTTATCCATTTCTTATTTCTTGCCCTGCGTCTTCCCTCCACCCATGCGTGACTTCCTTGTTATTATTTTGTAACTTTATTATTGAGATTGTATTTTTCTATCTTAATAATTAAACATCCATTCTTATATATCTGCTTAACGTTTAATTTTGTGAAATCAGTCTATACATATCAATAAATTCTTGTTGGAGCATCGTTTGGTCATGTATTCTTCTACACATTTCCATTCCTGTTTGAGCTTTTGATTAGATTGCATTCTAATTGTTGCCGTCATTTTTGCTAATTCAATCATTTCAAAAAATTTATGTTGCCAGTCTTATGTTGCCAGGAGTGTTGGTACTCCTTCTGATTTCCAATTTTTTGCAATCAGTAACCTTCCGGCAGCTGTTGCACATAAAAAGATTCTCTTCCTGTCTTTGGAGATGTCATTTGTTTTAATTCCTAAAAGGAATGTTTCCCACGTGGCATGGTCGCATTCATTGAATTGTGGCAGATAAGGGTTCATGTGGCTACTTTTGTTTTAAATTGCGGCTTACTAGAAGCGAAGATGGGGCAGCCCACTATTCCATGAATCTCAACTACAGTGGTACCTCAGGTTAAGTACTTAATTCGTTCCGGAGGTCCGTACTTAACCTGAAACTGTTCTTAACCTGAAGCACCACTTTAGCTAATGGGGCCTCCTGCTGCCCCCGCGCCGCCAGAGCAAGATTTCTGTTCTCATCCTGAAGCAAAGTTCTTAACCTGAAGCACTATTTCTGGGTTAGCGGAGTCTGTAACCTGAAGTATATGTAACCGGAAGCGTATGTAACCCGAGGTACCACTGTAATCTGGAATTATGCTGCTCTGTGCTGCATGTATTTGCATAAATCTGGGTCCCACATTCCACTCCGGGGGCAATAAGCCAGTGGTGAGTGGGGCCAGAAGCAAAAGGGGATGGAACAAATACATACCCCACAAGTCTCCTGGAAAAGCCAGAAAGACCCTATACCAGGGGTCAGCAAACTTTTTCAGCAGGGGGCTGGTCCACTGTCCCTCAGACCTTGTGGGGGGCCGGACTATATTTTTTGTGGGGGGATGAATGAATTCCTATGCCCCACAAATAACCCAGAGATGCATTTTAAATAAAAGCACACATTCTCCTCATGTAAAAACACGCTGATTCCCAGACCATCCGCAGACCAGATTTAAAAGGCAATTGGGCCAGCTCTGGCCCCTGGCCCTTAGTTTGCCTACCCATGCCCTATACTTTATCATGAGAGAATGGCGGCCATTTTGGTTGCTGTGATCTTGTTTGATTTTGCAGCACTATTTCCCCCAGGAAAATGTTGGCCTCCGTGCCCCCCCAAAACACCTTTTTGTGGGGAGTGGGGGAACCAGCTGGGGAACCTTCCAAGGAAAGAGGGCTCAGAGCCCAGGGAGTGGTGATGTGCGGTTAGAGGGATAAGACTGAGAAGAGGAGGTGTCAGAAGCTGAAGAGGTAACAGGCTTTAGTGAGCAAGGGGAGTCTGTGGCAGAGAGACGTCCAGAATCAGAGGCAGAAGCGGAAGGAGGAGAGGGGGGAGGACAAGAGGCAGAGATGAGGCAGGTTGGTGAAGAGGCACGGGTGTCTCCCTCTCCTACTGCCACAAGTTCCCTCCCTGCTTGTCTCCCAGAACCAGAAGAGGCATAAAAAGAGCAGAGGACAGTTTGGCTGCATTCAGGCACAGTCTCTGATTCCTAGGGGAAAGCCCCAGAGAGGTGGGGACTTAGATGGCTGTGACAGCAACTGATTCTAATGGAGTAAGACCCCTGAGAATGAGCTGCTCTCCTCATTAGGCCTGACATCTGACCAAGTTTGTGGAGATCGTATTTTTGCTAATAAAGTGTTAACTCCAGCTTTGAGTGGTAGGATTACTAACTGGCCTGCTCCCGCGACACTTACAGGAGAGAGAGATCAACAGAGCTGCCAACATTTTTCGACTCTCCTTCTGAATTTCAGAAGGTGGCACAACACCGCTGCTTCGGTTCTTGCAGCAGAAGCTGAGATTTTGCAGAAAGGAAATCGAGTAGGGTGGGGCCCACCACCACAACCCACACGAAAGAAGTCGGGGGTCAGGGGGCTCAGACACCTGACAGGATGAGCGTTCTGCTTCCCTGGGCTGCATCACCCACAATAGCTGGGGTGGGGCAACAATGTCTGCTCCTCTGAGAATACCTCAAATAGAGAAGGCCCACAATTCCCTGGGGTAAACGGTGGTGGTGGGAGGCAGGTTATCACATTTTACTGGCCCAGTCAGAACTTCATTTCCCCCAGTAAACGGATGCCAGAAACCAAAAATGTGAGAGGTTTCATCCTCCTGCGAAGCATACAAGAATGTAAAGACGTTTCTAAAAGCATGTTTTTAATATACCCCTGCTTACTATAAGGCAGCCTTAACCACCCACATGTTGTTGGACTCCAACTACCATCAGCCCCAGTCAGTGTGACCAGTGGTCAGGGATGGTGGGAATTGTAGTGCAAACATCTGGACAGTAGCAGGTTGGGGAATGCTGCTAAAAGCATGTGGAACTCCCTCCCCGCTGAGGCCTCCAT